ATCCGCCTATGAATATGAACATCTTTTTGGTTTCAATTTTGTTCTATCTGAAATTGTCTGTGGAAGTGTTCACGATGATGAAGAAAGATGAAGTAGTCTAGAACAGAATAGCCATGGAGGTACAAGTGATTATGTAAATAATTTCCAAAGTGTAATAAAAGTTCAAAGTCAAGAGCTTTAACAAAGTATGGATAATGGTGATTTGGAATACAAAGGAATTCAATATTGTGTATCATTAAATATGTTTCATTTGGTTATACCCATGTAAGACCAATGAAGAAAACATTGTTGTGAAAATGAACAGTTGATCCACTGGGCTACCCCAAATCCTTTCAAATAAATGGATAATATGATTCCATACATTTATTTAAAAACAAATAATATTGTAAAACTGGTTTAATATAATGTTGGTTGGTTGGTTGGAAGTAAGTTGAAGAAATTTATTGAAGAAATGCATTTGTAACAAACTAAAACAAATGTTGTATGGTTACATAGTAATAATATTGTATAATCTGGTTTCATATATCCAACTCCAAATTGGTTGGAAACAAGTATGAAATTTATTATATATATATATTTTATGTATTGTTTAACCCAGCTGACTATATATACAAATTTTAAAAGTTGACAGTAAGAAACTTATGGCACCAATTTTCACTAGAGGGTGTGTCACATAGTTAGGGATAAATACCTTGCATTTGATTGAAAACTTTTTATTTTTTATCCAGTTAATAAACAAAAACAGGTTTTCCAGTGAATAAAGAACAATTGATCTATCTACTACCTGCTGATATGGGCCTGATTTGTAACTTCGTCCTCGAAATTGGCCAATGTACATAGGTCAATAAAATATGTGTTTTTGAAGGGTAGATCGATTGTAATCAATTCAAACTAATTATCCAGAGGTACAATAAATACTATATTTTCATATGTACTTAATGTACAGATATTGACCTGTACAGTGTGGCATAGAGTAAAATGACTACAGAATAAAAGACTCTTTCTGTGCACGAATTCACAATGTTTACATACTTATTGAGTACTACATAATGAAGGCGAAGACTTGGAAGAACAAAACAAACATGAAACTGATAGGCCTAGGTTTGAAGTATATAGACAACAATTTTAGAAGCCTATTCAAGAGATAATTTATTGGATGGAGTATGTCAGACCTGATTGCGAGTGTTTGACTGGGAGATTGTTTTGCTCACGTATGAACTGTGTTGTGTGTGTGCTTTCGAAGCCCTGATTAGTCTGTGTACAAGAACAGAACCAGCGTTGATGGGCGGGTGCTGGAAACCACATGTACAAATAGAACACTTACTCGGGTGGGAACGGGGTGGGTGGGGAGAGTGAGATCCAAATGGTGTAAGGGAGGGGGACATATTCAGGGTAGTAGGGTACTAGGTAGGTGGGGGATAGGTTATGAGGTTTTACGAGAATGCTTTAATGTGCTTAGCTCTCAAGAAGAGATTGCTTGTGTTCTTATTGGTTTAACTCAATGGGTTTTCTAGGGTCACTTCTACTTTGTGATTGTTTTCTGACACTTTCAACATGACTGTATAATGTTTGTTGGATTTTGTTTATTTTTCTCAAGTAACACTTGTATCTTGGCTGTGAATGGTTCATGTTCCGCTGTCACTTTATGATCTGGTCATACAAATCTTCCAGGATCATAAACCGAAGATTGGGTTTATATGTCTGGAATCACCATGATAGAACTGATCAAAAGTCTTTGATTCAGTCTCTTAATTTACAATGAAAAATCATACAAAAGGTTATAGTTGATGAAGACTTTCATTGTGCTTGAGAACCAGGTTTTAATCATTTTCTTTGGATGACAATATGAGAGTGTTGAAATGTGAGTTCGGTGACAGTGACAATGGTCACATTGTGAGAGTGATGATCTATGTCCCATGCTGTCTCTAATAGAGGTATGACTGTAGAATAACAATTCATTTGATTGTTGGATGTGATTACCCTCTTGACAAAATGGAATACTTTCTGAAGCGGATGAATAAAAACAAACCAATACCGGAAGAGTCAAGGTAAATTTGACGACATATTTTTAAGCTTTATATTCCGAATCATGCTGCCACTGACTAGTATTTCCGTCAGCCTGTAACCAACAGTTGAAGGCTCATGTATGTTTTAGTAATTCAGTTATACGTCAGGATAGATTTTATACAATTTTGTTATGGCCTTAATGTAATTGTTTTGAGTTGTAAGCTGTAAATCGTAATCCTTCATTTCAGTTTTACTGCTATTGATCGCACAAACTACACAGCATGTCAAGTTCTCCATTGAAGCAAGCAACTAATATTTACACTCTAACTCGTTGTTATCCAGGCTTCACGAAAATAAAACTATTTCTGTCACCTAATACTTTCCCGTAGACAAAACAGGACAGGGTGGTGGAGAAACTGAATAGGCATATCGTGAAGCGTGTAGAAAGGATAGGAATTCTGTTAACCACATAGATTGGTTTAGGTGCGTGTATTGTTCTCCCCAAAAAAATCACGTCTCTATTTGCTTTTGGTCTCTACTTGCACTGATCATTGAGAAATAACAGAATATTGGGATAGTATTACAGTCAGGAAGAGCATAAGCCAGTTAAGCTTGGCTGTAGATAGCTATACCAGCTGTGATGGTGTCTAGGGAAGAGTTTGACAAATTGCTCCCATTAAGATATTTTGATTGGGATTTTCTGGTTTAAGTGGACAATTATGTTAAATAGGCATGTCAAAGAAAGTGTTTAAGGTTGGATTTGTGGTGACAGACAGTCCAAAGGATAGGATCATTACAGAAGAGTGAGTAATGTGTTTGTTACTTCATTGAAGAAGTGACGCCCCCTACTGGGAGCTTTCTTCACTTCATTTTCAAAATTCTTTGCATAAAATATTGTGGATCAGAATTGTTTCTGTAACATTTTGTTTTGTGCTAAATGTGACATGATTCAGTTATTTAATTAAATATAATTTGACTTTAATTGGTTTTGTCGGAGGTAGTAATCACAGTGAAGAATGTTGTGCAGAACATGCACTTTGTCTTTACTTTGTGAAAACAAACTGAGGAAGGTGTCGTTCATAGTGTTGCTTTAGATCCTGTTAAATTAACAAAAAAACATCAGCAAATAGCCTTTATTGTATGCAGAAACACAACATTAGTCATTACAATCTATATGAATGGATCAGAGAATCAGTGAAGACACCGGGTGTCAATTGTGAGGTGATTTCCCTAATGGGTGGGTGAGTTGGGTTTTATGCCCTATGTACCAATATTCCAGCAATATCACGGCGGGGTACACCAGAAATGGGCTTCACTCATTGTACCCATGTGGGGAATCGAACCTGGGCCTTCAGGATGACGAACCAATGCTTTAACCACTTGGCTACCCCACTGCCCCATTTCCCCAGTGCAAAGACATTACCGTGAGTTTGTAATGCTGGAAATATTATGTGGACAACTCTGTTCTGTAAATATGATGTTTTATGTCAAATTTCACATTTACATTGATCAAGTTTGATCACCTGTTCATTCACTTTATTTCTCTGAAGGCAAATAATGTTGTTTGTACTGCAGTTAAAAAAAATTGAATTTTGTATTTTTTAAACTCTGCATCCTCTAGAGTAAGATGTGCATTATGCTTGGGTGCACATTACTCTCAAGAAAGTCAGGTTCCTCACTAACAATCATATTAGAGTACACAACACAGTAAATTTACCAAACTGTTCTATATCAGTCATACTTTGTAGTCAGAAAGTCCTGACATATCACATTTGTATCTTGTCAACAATCAGGGCAAGGGTCACTGACATACTGATATGCAAATGTACCAGTGTACAATTGATTACTGGTGTATTAAACATTGTATTATATGTGAGTATGTGGGCAAAATTAAACAACTACACTTTATGTGAAAAAGGGTTGTGTGTATACATCAGGGGATTTCCTTATTTTATTGTACAAGTGGATTTAGCAATACTTAACAGCTGATTCTACTGACAGTGTCATGTTGTTCACCCGATATAGTGGCTGTTGACTTGAGGATTAATCAGGATTACCTCCCTTGATCAGAATGATTATCAAGCAGGGTTCTGTGTTGACATAAAGATATCATACCATGCAGGTAGCAAAAACCATTGTCAACTCAAGACTGAATTACCGGGGAGCTACTATAGGCCATTTAACTGACTGTTACACAAAAGTTAGTCAAATAATATCTGTAAAAAATATCATTGATTTACTTAAAGGTCACATGCAACCAAAAAATCAAATTGTTTATGGTGTATAGCCTGATAGGTATTAAGTTCAAATTGCATGTGATCAGTGATCAAGTTGTGTATTGAATGTTGTCATTAGCAGACAATCAGGCAGACACATAGGTGTCTATAAAACAGACATTGAGTTTTGTCTGACAGAGACTGCTTATCACAATCAACATATTTTTCTCTGTTTCCATAGACATGTATTAAAATACTTCAGTTTTCAAGCTGAGCAATTTTTAACAATGAAATTAGTATTTCTAATGCTACACTTTCTTGAAAACTTGGTTTGCAAATCTGCAACCAAGTATGGGACCAGTGTATTTTTATTACTGCAGACCCAAGATGCTTGTAATCACAAGAAACATCTTTTGTTCTCCAACTTCGACCACAGCAATAATCCTTGCACGCATCACTTGCTGTGGGTTTTACGAGTCACCTTCATGGTTCAAGCTGCGCAAACCTAATCACTGTGCAAGCGCTATGGGCGCAGCGCAGCACAGCTGTTGAAACCACTTTTCACCCCAGTGCTGGGGTGAAATTAGTGAATTGTTTGAACTACGATTTCGTGTGGGGGGGTTTCATCGCGTTATTTTTCAACTTTATAAGTTGAATTTGCATTTTTTATAATTTGTTACTGTAAGTCCATACCAAAAGGTATCAAAATCTGCAAAGTTGTGTTGTTTTGCGTGGTATGTGACCTTTAACTAACATTTCATCGATTGTCCATTGCAGTTTCAACAAAGCTGAGAATGTCCGACTGGAGGAACACATCAAGCTTCAGCATCTGGAGCAGCTGCTGCACGAGTTTGAGATCCACGACCCCGAGGACATCCTCATCCACGAGGAGACCGGCTACTTCCCTGCCAAGGTCTTCAAGAGGACCCCAGGGTGTATGAATGTGGAGGAGTTCAAGAACACCATATCCAAGGTGCTGGAGACCAATGAATACGATGACTACTTGGAGAGGCTCTTCACCAAGGTGAGTGTTTTGTATGGACTGAGACAGAGTGACAGTCTTGAAATTTGTTAGGAACAAAGGTATTGCTTCAAAACATCTGAAAGGAGGCACCAGACAATTTTCTTCTTCATTACTCATGTTCAGGGCATCTTCCCCAGTTGCGTCATACCAAAAGACGTTAAAATATGGTAACTGTTAGTCCCAGCCTGGCGCTTGACATTAATTGGTACAACAAGGACTGGTTGGCTCGGAGTCAGTATAATGTGTCTGAGTGTGGTGTTCATGCTTAACTACGGCATGGTATCTCAGTGAGCTAGCACCATAAAACCAGCTCAAGTCTTGGCTGGTACAAGCAGCCACACATACACACACATCATGCATGTTGTCATATGAGCGGAATATTCTTAAGTAAGATGTTAAACCCCATTTCACTTCACCTCACCTTCAGGACATCCAGCATGTCCATGGAACAAATTCATTCTTTTGTACAATGCCTCAGTCCTTAGCCCAACATTTCCAATACTTTCATTTGAAATTTCTCTTCCACAAGAATATTAAATAGTCTGTCCCTTAGGCCTGCTTACATGTATTAAACAAAGTAAAATAATGCAAGAATTGGAATTATCTACATCATAAGAACATGCATGTACTCATCATACTTTTGCACTAACTCAACTTTCGATAGGGATAATCTGATATGTAATTCTATTTAAATATATACATTAAATCTCTTCTTGTCCCTGCTGTGTTATAAAGACCTGTATTTGAGGGTCCCTGGGACACTTAGAACTAACTGATTGACATAAATATTATTATAATCTGTTATTGTATTGTTTCATGTCCCAGCCACTTGGTGTGTATTTTTAGTCTAAATACTTATAACGTCCATTGTCAATTTTGCATATAGGACACAGGAACTATCCCTGTTACAACTTATAATGAACTACGTTTACAACAAACTAAATTTGAGTTCTCTATATTCATAGGTTACTGTATCTGACGTGATTTAGTTGTGTATCATTCAAAGATAAAAGACTATTAAAGTGGAGTAGTGTATCGGAGAGGTGGTACTACAAAGATAAAATACTATAAAAGTGGAGAAGTGTATTGGAGAGGTGGTACTACAAAGATAAAATACTATAAAATTGGAGTAGTGTATTGGAGAGGTGGTACTACAAAGATAAAAGACTATAAAAGTGGAGAAGTGTATTGGAGAGGTGGTACTACAAAGATAAAAGACTATAAAAGTGGAGTAGTGTATTGGAGAAGTGGTACTACAAAGATAAAAGACTAAAATTGGAGTAGTGTATTGGAGAGGTGGTACTACAATTTCAGTAGTGAAAATGCCTCCAATCAAACATCCCCACTATAGACCTGTGGTTATTGTTCGTGTTCAGCTGGACACGACGTCGTGTGATGGATACGTGGACTGGGATGAGTTCTGCACCTACCTCCTGCTGCTGTACCGAGAGAATGACTACCTGCGGACCAAGAAGGAAATCCCCTTCCTCGTGGAGCCCAAGATCAGACATGCAGTACACAACAGGGTGAGAACATCATACATTGATTGCAGCCTGTAAATTATTCAGAATATGGGATATCCCCATTTCTGTTCTGTTGTGATAAATACCTGGGACCTTAGCTTTGTTTGGGTTGTGACATCACAGTATCCATCTTGGTCGTTACGTCACATTATTAACCTGTCCTATCAGTAACTTCAAAGAGAATGCTTTAGTAGAATCAAAGATGCTGTCTATTGCAGTCAGTATAAGATACATCTAATTCCAACAAGTTGCTGTTTTTATCTTTTCATCACAAGATAACTTTATTTGCAGCAAGAGACTACAACCAAGATCATATCTGTTGAAAACCCTACCCGTTATTTAACAATAAGTAAGGTATGTGCAATCGTCAGATGATTGAATCTGAGTGAATGTTTCTTGCTTAAAGTTTTATAAGTTTTTGTTTGTTTTATAATGTGAATATTTTTAATGTCATTCTTTGCACATAAAGGAAACCTGATTTAAAACATATTTTTTCAATAACAACCCTTTCATTATCTTGGTACTGTCCAGCTGTTCTGTTGGAATGAATAAAGCAGAAGGTGATTACTCTGAGAGCCAGTGAAATGATTCAATGATTTGAATGACAGTGATGGTAATCTACGCCAAGCAGAAATTCTGCATAAAAATATCTCAGCTTATACCATCTTTAGATTTGAATTATTTTTGCGTGATTCAGTGAGTCAGCCATTGAGTGAGTGAGTGAGTCAGTCAGTCAGTCAGCCATTGAGGGTAGTGAGTGAATCAGTCAGTCGGTGAATGAGTCAGTGAGTGAGTTGAGTTTAACGCTGCTTTGAACAGCATTTCAGTTATCTCACAGTATGTTTTCTAAAGGAAGGCCATAGTTTTTACCTGAAGTACATATATATTTGGTACTGAAAAACCTTTAAACACAATCAGGGTGAATCTGGGATTTAAACCTTTGATCATAATAAGGGATACAACTCTGTGCAGCAATTTTTAGCAACTTAAACCTCCTGGCACTAAGAACCTCTGATACATTATGAGGCTGGAAACTTCATCTTCTGCAGGAAGGAGGCATGAGTGTGTGGAACTCCAATATGTCCTATGAGAGGAATTACGTCATCGAGGACGAATCCACAGAGACAGTAGGTCAGAAGCGTCGGTTCAAGATGTGGATCACTGATGTCGTCTACATGCCCAACTGTCATAAGATTGCCATTGGATCTACCAGTCGGGACATACGCTTCTATGATGTTTCGACTGCCCAGTATTTTGAAGAATTCCAGCTGTTTGGTAGGTACTTGCCACAAATTTGTGATATTAGCTGTTACACCCTCAAATATACACATGCCAGCATGAGAAGGGAGTTTACCGTATTGTTGCATCATGTTTCAAATATTTGCCCTCAAGACTGCAGTAGTGAGTTAGTGATGTGCGGTATGGTGCTGGACACATGATTATGATGAGGACAACCCTGCTGATTTAACTTGGTTGTTTACTTTCTTGAGTAACATATGTTATATTTAGGATTGCACTTTCTTAGTAAAGTACAAATTCTAGTACTTTACTTTTTGGGTTGAGTCCCATCCGTGATTCGAACCCACACCCTCAGAGTCAGGCACCTAATCGCCAGCACACAAAGTCAGTCGCCTAACCCACTCAGCCACTGTGACTTCCACTATTAGTGATTAGGTGCCTGACTCTGAGGGTGTGGGTTCAAATCCCGGATGGGACTCAACCCCAAAAATAAAATACTAGAATTTGTACTTTACTAAGAAAGTGTAATCCCAAATATAACATATGTTACATTTGACCACTTTCTAAATGGCATTGTGTAATCATTTCTTGAGTAGTAAAGAGTCTTAGAATGCATTCCCTCAGACAGACTTGATACAGTTTCTCCCAATTACCCCCAGCACGTCAGTAAATTGACAGTAACATTCTTCTGACACTTGTACCTATGTGTGTCTGTTACAGCCATGACCGATGTCCCCTACTGTTTTCACTACTGGTATAACCAAAAGGTAAGACACCTTCATAGACAGGAACACGTTTCACTTACTAGCTTACTTAATTGATTTGAACCATGCATTATCTCAAGCTAGAAGCTATATCCGCAGACTGTCATTGAAAGGAGGCTTTTGATCAGGACTTAAGACCTTATTTGTTTGTATCAAATATATGCAGTAATTTCGTATTCAGAGAACAAAGGTTTTCAAATTCTGCACATAAGAGATTTTATATCTGTTTTTTGACAAAGGATGAAATGTTTGTCTCCTGGATTTTGAACACTGAAAACCACAGTGAACCTGATAATTCTTATACTAACTGAGAGGGATGCAAAAACATTGTCCTGTATTCTCAAGTAGTTCATGTTTTCCTATCATTATTGAAATGCTCCTGTCGCTTTTGTTTAGTCCTGTAGATACAGTTTCAGCAGTGTGTCTATCACACAGCCTGTCACCAAAATGACAAATGTGAAAGATCATTATTCTTTTTATCCTGAAAACCTGACTTCTTTCTGAGCCGCAAAGATAATTAAAGTTTTTAATTTGTTAACATTTGAATTATATTTCAACCAAATACCGGGTAACAGTATGTAAACCAACCAATAATATAAATGGAAGACGTTATCAATATTCTGCTTTGATCTTCAAGCAGTGTGCATTAGTGGTGGTCCGATTAATTGAAATAATCGAAGATTGGTCGCAGTGACTAAACGACCAAGCAATCGATCATGTTTTCTCATAATCGAACACAACCAATTCTGGAAGACTTGTTTTCATAAACAATATTTTTCAGAAGGTTGGTTTTGTCAGTTACATTTCATAAGCACTACAAGTTTGTTTCAAGTCATGATTGAATTATCTTAAAGACTTCAAGACATTTATGTTCCTGACATACTAGTCATCCTTTAAAGATGTGAAATTTTGCCAAAAGAACTACATGTTTTTTCCTTATTTTTATGTGCATTAACAAATTTCGTTAAAGACGCTAACCAATTTTTTTCGATGATTGATCGGTTGTAATAAACCAATCATCAATTATGAGATTTTAACCAATTCCCAACACTAGTGTGCATTGTGCCGGAGGTCCAGCCTCTCTCATAATGATGTACACTCATGTCACCAGAACACCAACAATCGGTCCCTACTGGCGTTTGGCTTGGACTCTGGGAACATCGGCCTCCTCTACTTCAACAAACCCATCACACAGCTGTTTGAGATGCCATTCCAGAGCGAGGGAGGAGTACAGAAGATATTCATGCAGGTAAACAGATGGTTCGTTGTGTATTGAAACATGGAAGTAAAAACTTTGAAATGAATTGCTTGCATACATCCTTCACATGCTGTCTTCTGATGCACATATGCAACCCCTTCATAACCGAATGGGAAATGTCCTCAGTAGAGACTGTATTCCCTAGATAGCAAGATACATGTCATACGGATGGTGGGGTATCTAAAGACCTGGATTTGATGGGTCCAGTGTGTGAATCCCATATCTGGTGTAGCCAGCTGGAATATTGCTATAAGCCATTTTCACTCCCTCACATGTATTAAGGTGGTTAGAATTCATGGTGAGCTCCCTCCTGCAGGACCTCGACCACAACATCAAATACATCCTGTTCTCACCCATTGCCCTCACACCTGCAGGATCTATACCTCCACACCAAGTATGTTCAGTTCTCACCCCATTGCCTTCCCTCTATGGGACCTCCACCACCCCACCCAGTATGTCATGTTCTTGCCCATTGCCCTCCCTCTTGCAGGACCTCCAAGTACATGACGTTCTCACCAATAGCCTTTCCCCCTGCATCACCATCACACCAAATACATCATATTCTCACCCATTGACCTCCCTCCTACAGGACCTCCACAACCCCATCCAGTATGTCATGTTCTTGCCCATTGCCCTCCCTCTTTGCAGGACCTTCAAGTACATCCCATTCTCACCCATTGCCCTCCCTCTTGCAGGACCTTCAAGTACATCCCATTCTCACCCTCTTGCAGGACCTCCAAGTACATCCCATTCTCACCCATTGCCCTCCCTCTTGCATGACCTCCAAGTACATCCCATTCTCACCCACTGCCCATCCCCTTGTATCACCACCACACCAAATACATCATATTTACACCCATTGCCCTTCTTCCAGGACCTTCATCTTCACACCAAGTATGTCCAGTATTCTATGCTGCCCAACATCCACCCAGGGATCATCCGACAGATCCGCTTCCTGCCAGACAGCGACTCAATCATCTCTTCTTGCGACAGTGAACGCAAGTCTGTGGTCATCTCTGATGTCCAAAGCCTGAAGCGGTCTTATGTCTTCCGAGTAGATAAGGTATGTGCTTAAGAAATACAGTTCGCTCTACCCCTATGTATAGTGTAATAAAGTACAATTTAATATGCACAGGAATTAATCTAGGCAGAAAGCAATGGTGTCAGTGACCTAAATGAACAATCCTCGTTCAGGGCTCTTTCAGTGACGTGTCTGCTTCCCTACGTTTCTGCGAAAACAAATGATAAACAGTTTGAAGACAGTTTACATTCGGGTTAAATATCTTGTCTATATTATTTTAGTTGCGTCTGTGATTATTGTAAACCAAATTGGGCAATGTGAACATCGCACTTCTACTACCAACATAAGTTTAGAACAGTAACTCCAGATGAAGTTGACTTATCACGCAACATTCCACTGATGCATTGTGGGTCTGTAGACATAGGCTTAGTCAGCGAACATTGCCGTGTCGCTGTTTAATTATGATTCGAGTTGAGACATTTATCCGTCGAAAAAAAGTTAAACATAATGTTTCCTCCAGTGATGGTAGCAGAGTTAAGCTAAGCAACTGCAAACCAAGAAACGGGGTGCTACGGAGTAGTTTACTGTAAGAGACTGAAGACAACTGACATGCACTGTGATGTTGGTAACCAAGGTACGTTTCATTACCAGGGGCCAGACGAGAATGGTGTAGTGATGCCAATACAGTGTGACATAAGACAAAAAATTACTGATAAAGTACTGTCTGTCCTTTGATCTTTTAGCAGAGCATCTTAGACTAACCTCAGGTTCTTGGGATAGATTGTGAATATGAATATGTCCCAAGACAATGATGTGTTTCACCTACTAAAGCTGTTCACTCCCTGGGGTCACACTCCAAAGAAACACTTTGTATACCATAGACCTTGTCATCCTGTTGCCAATGCCAAGGACCAAGATCACCCGCCCAATTCTGATGTATGTGATTTTGCTGGACGATTGCTATCCACAGAACTAGTCTTAACATATCAATGTCCTACCCTTTCAGATTGTGTTTACTTTATGGAAAAAATCTCCTACCTACTACCACCTAATAGTCCTACCCTAAAAGGAAATTTCACCCTTTGTTTTTGTAAGGTCAAGGACATTTAATCTTAATGAATGATTGCTGATATATAGGATATATACAAATGAATGGTTTCCTATTTTGTACCTGCAGGGTGTTGAGTGTTTTGACTACAACAAGAACATCAACATCCTGGCAACTGGCAGCTCCGACCACTACATCCGTCTATGGAACCCGTATGTGACAAGTAAACCAATCACAGTCCTTGTCGGCCATGCTACTGGCGTCATCGGTATTGCTATTCATGAAGGGTTCCGACAAGTGTTCAGCTATTCCAAGGATGCGGTTTGTATTGACATAGTAGTGATGATAGCTCAAAAACACTTCAGGTTTTGTCATACGTGATATGAACTACTGTTCCGTTCAATACAAGCAATATATTTGTATGTTTGTCTCATTTATGTACTGTGATTCGTTTCTTTCCTATTCTACCATGTTCTCTGCAAGCTGTGGCACCACTTACATTGGCGGATCCAGGAAGGGTGGGGTGGGGTGGTGGTTTCAAACACCCCCCTTTTGAAATTGACTAAGGACCACATTGAAGTTAATGTTCCCCCTTTGAAACTTCCTGGATCCTCCCATAACTTACCCAATTGTTTTAAGGGAATTAGCAGAATAATAACCAATGGTCCTTGAAACAAGCAGCTGGTAAGCAATCATGCACTGCTTGCCAACTGGCTCACGATATCACATATTGCAGCCAGAAAGGAGAGACTGTCTTTTTAACCATCATGAATTAACATAGGATGGTGCATTTTTACAACATATCTTTTCTAATATTTTTAATCTCTTCTCAAATGTATTAAATATGTATGTCTCATATGGCAATGGTATTCTCTTTGAATCAAATCTGAAATCTGATACACTGACAGAATGTCATGTTTGTCAACCATTAGGCCATTAGTTTACAATACTGTGTGACAATAGATCCCTGAAATTTCAAGAAAATAATATTTGTAACATTTTGAGGGTTATAGTTACATTTGAACCTTCTTGTGTCAAACTCATGGAGACCTGGACAACATTTTCCTGTTTTTTTTTATTCGAGACAAGCAACACCTTTCCCACTGTTTTGAACAGCTATAATTGCTTCGAACTTCATCTAGACAGTCTTCACGGTCAGTTGTGTGTGTTTTCTGTAGTAAAATCTGATAGTCATAGCATGAAATGTAGATATAACATTATTCAGCTTGCAACTTCAATGTAAGATGTGCTTGATTGGGCTTCATTGGATATGGGCTCATTGTGCTAAATTTATTACAATCGCAGACCAATCACACTTCAAAGCATACCAGCAAGAAGACCTTGGAATCAATATGTATATAGTAATTAGCCAGCACCTTCAGTGTAAGATGTGCTTGTTAATTAGGTTTGATTGGATATTGGCATCTTGTCCTCAATGCAGTCAAATGAAAAGACCTTAGTATATTGTGAGAAAGGTGTATACAATGATTAGCTTGTACCTTCATTGTGAGATATACTTGTTAATTAGGATTGATTGGATATTGCACATTATGCAGAGATTATTGGAATCACAGGTCAAACATACATCACTACATACGAGCTTGTAAACCAAGTAATGAAAGACCTTAAACTCAAAATATTATCAATTATGTATCAGTCCAACATGAATGAAATATGATCATCTCAAATGAACGTCCAGTGACGTCATAGTGCAGTGGATGAGATGTAGACCAACAGTTGTCATGCTTTTGTTATTTAAGAGACAGTTTGGTATGTAGTGAAGATTAAGAATCAGTCAATGACAAATGTTTTCTAAGAAAAATGCAAACTGCTGCAAGAGATATAACATGGCACTTTTAGTGTACAACTTCTCAAATCCTAACATATGTTATATTTGGGATTACACTTTCTTAGTAAAGTACAGATTCTAGTACTTTTGTTGGGTTGAGTCCCATCCGGGATTCGAACCCACAACCTCAGAGTCAGGCACCTAATTGCCAGCACACAGAGTCAGTCGCCTAACCTGCTCAGCCACCACGACTTCCACTTTCTCAAATCCTGGTAATGTGATGTCCTGTGGTTGTGTCCGTTGTTTGAAATATCGTGGTGACAACGGGGTAGCCGAGTGGTTAAAGTGTTTGCTAGTCTCAATAAAGACCCGAGTATAATGTGTGAAGCCCATTTTTGGTGTCCCCAGCCATAGAATAGATCTAAAATCGGTGTTAAACCATACTCACTCACTAACTCACTCACTCACTCACTCGCTCAACTATGGTGACTACTTTTTGTGTCGTGTGTGTCATGTCCAAGGTCAAGGTGACCTGTCATATTTGTTTTGTCTCGTTCATCTCGTCATATTTCATATCACCATGACAAAATCTGATACAGACATGTAAACAGTCTTGTGAGACAACTTACTGATATAGAGCTGCAGTCAGATTACCTGAGCAGCCTATATTAGTTGTCTGAATCAAGACAGATACAGCTGCCATTGTTTGGGTAGTGTGAACACGTCTAGGTTGTAGTGAGGCAGTTGGCTGACAAGTGAGTATGGTATCATTTTCATTTTGTGGCAGGTGCATGCTTATTAGAGTGACTATGGCATTAAGATCTGTTTTGTTTTATAAATCAATGGCTTTTGAGCTGTATTTATTTTACTATAGGTGCATGTTTTCTCTGCTAGGTGATAGCATGGTGGGATATCACTTTACGAGAGGATGTTTTCTCCTATAGGTGATAAAGGTGTGGGATATCACCTTACAAGTGCATGTTTTCTCCAATGGGTGATGAAGACGAGGGATATCACTTTACAAAGTGCATTATTTCTCCTGTAGGGGATAAAGGTCTTGGATATCACCGTACAAGTACATGTTTACTCGAATAGGTGATAAAAATGTGGGATATCACTATACAAAGTGCATAGTTTCTCCAATAGGTAATATAGGTGTTGGATATCACTTTACAAGTGCATGTTTTCTCCAGTAGGGGATAAAGGTGTTGGATATCACTTTACAAAGTGCATGTTTTCTCCAATAGGTAATATAAGTGTTGGATATGACCTTATAAGTGTATGTTTTCTCCTATGGGTGATAGAGGTGTGGGATATCACTTTACAAAGTGCATGTTTACTCCAGTAGGTGATAAAGGTGTTGGGTATCACTTTACAAAGTGCACATTTTCTCCAATAGGTAATATAGGTGTTGCATATCCGTTTACAAGTGCATGTTTTCTCCTGTAGGTGATAAAAGTGTGTGAGATATCTCTTCACAAAGTGTTTGTTTTCCCCAATAGGTAATGTAAGTGTTGGATATCACAATACAAAGTGTATGTTTTCTACAATATGTGATAAAAGTGTGTGAGATATCCCTTCACAAAGTGCATGTTTACTCCAGTAGGTGATAAAAGTGTGGGATATCACTTTACAAAGTGCATGTTTTCTCCAATAGGTAATATAAGTGTTGGATATCACCTTATAAGTGCATATTTTCTCCAGTAGGTGATAATGGTGTTGGATATCACTTTACAAAGTGCATGTTTTCTCCAATAGGTAATATAAGTGTTGGATATCACAATACAAAGTGCATGTTTTCTACAATAGGTGATAAAAGTGTGTGAGATATCACATCACAAAGTCCATGTTTTCTCCAGTAGGTGATAATGGTGTTGGATATCACTTTACAAGTGCACGTTTTCTCCAGTAGGTGATATAGGTGTTGGATATCACAATACAAAGTGCATGTTTCCTCCAACAGGTGATTAAGGTGTGGGACATCCGAGAACATTCCTGTCTTCAGACGGTGCAGCTCAAGTTCCCCAGCAGCATCCATGGACGGATGCCAGAACATGGTCAGTTCCCCCTCCACCTCCAGGGGGCACCACACAGTGCTGTCCTTGTTACCAGCAACGACTACATTGGCATGCTGAAACTAGGGCAAGTGGCGGCACCACAGAGCGTAATGCCCACCACACACGATACGCAGTTGTGCTGCGCCATCTACAACCACTTCTTCAAACAGGTACATGTGCACTTACATGTGGGTCAATGAAATTTTTGCTGTTGAATACACCAGCTGACGATGTCAGACATAATTTAATTTTTATATTGAAGACTCAATGACATCTGCATTAATCAGGTACATATGTAGTGCCACAGTGCCTTTGGCCCAATATTTGCATACTTTAAAAGATGGAGCTTGTATAAATATTATTCAGATATGTCAGATATGGTGATTTATGTTAGTCCTATTCTGTGTTCATGGCAACACTTAAACATGCTCTAAATGCATGAGTGATGGTTAAATGTGCATTTTTGTAATAGCTGCACCTGAGCAGGTCTTTGACTGAAGCTGGTTTCTAAGAACTTTAGTGCAAATATTTATCAGCCTTTTTCAAACATTTTGGCCTCTTTTTTTAATCTGACCCTGCTTTAAGTCTAAATTGTGTAAGTGTGTTAAACATATTTTAAAGAGTTCAGCCATTTGAGAGTATGTGTATTTGATTAGTTATCTGATATTTCTATCTGGTACAAATATTATTTAAGAGCCTTCGTACAACAGTAAAGTACAGATTCTAGTACTTTTAGGTGTTGAGTCCCATCTGGGATTCGAACCCACACCCTTCAGTCAGGCACCTAATCAATAGGACACAATGTCAGCTATCGAACCAACTCAACTTCCATAAAATTGGAATTGTGACAACTGGTAGTCTAGATCATATACTTTGTGTACCCCTCTGACAAGTGAGTGAGTGAGTTTAGTTTTACTCTGCACTCAGCAATATTCCAGCTATATGGTGGCAGTCTGTAAATAATCGAGTCTGGACCAGACAATCCAGTGATCAACAGGATGAGCATTGATCTATGCAATTGGGAACCGATGACATGTTTCGACCATCCGATCCCGTTAGTCGCCTCTTACCACAAGCATGGGTTACTGAAGATCAATTTTAACCCGGATCTTCACATGTTCTCTGACAAGTGACAAGTGGTGGAAATGTAATTGTAATATGTCTTCTTCTAATTGCTGATACTGAGTATGTGCATGTTCTGTGTGATGTGACAGGTCGTGACTGGATGTGACTCCTCCTGTATAGCTGTCTGGGACATCGAGAGTGGCAGGAAGTCCATCGTGTTCTCCAACGCCCACGGAGACGAGGAGATTACCTGCATGGTGTTTGATGAGACGTACAGGAGACTCATGACTGGCGCCAGGAATGGTACCATCAAGGTGGGTGTTGTACACAGGCTACTTTCTTATGGTTTTGTTTGGGTTTTTTTTTTGTTGGTTAACGCCGCACTCAGCAATTTTAAGGCTATATGGCAGCAGTCTGAATGTAATCAAGTCTGAACCACACAATCCAGTGATCAACATCATGAGCATCGATCTACGCAAATGGGATACGATGACATGTGTCAACCAAGTCAGCGAGCATGACCACCCGATCTCGGTAGTCGCCTCTATGAGCATGAGCGTTCTGTTGAATGAGATGGTAATGAGACTTTTAACCTTCTCGCACCTGACAAGGTAGCCTGGATACGTTGGATAGTATACTCCCCAGGGCTGAATTTGAATATTGAGTGCACACTGATCCCTTGACCTGGGTAGCAGTGTTTCAACATTCACTCCAAAGATGAATATATTCTTGCTTACATCCCATCAGTTGTAATTTACAACTTAATTCCAATTTCATGAAAAGTTAAATATTCTGAATACAGTCCTTTAAGTAGAAATCAGTAACTTCAGAACGTGTTGTCAATTTGTCTCATTGAAATGCCATTGCAATGCCATCGTTAGATCGTCAGAATTCAGAACATAAGACTGATGTGTTTTTCATCTCTTTATATTTGCATCATGATACTGTATCTCACTTCCTAAGTACTTAATACTTCGGCGAGTAAACGTATTACTGTATATATCGCGCAGGTAGGGATTTCCTGTGAGTAAGCAATACACGCCACCTGACAGGTTAAGCCACTCTGGTTGTTTTCATTGCTATTAGTGGCGGCCTAAGAGACAGCTGGTAGTTCCCGCAATTACTGATTGCACGAATAATTGACCGCGCGATGTAGTCTAAACTGTCAATTCCGCGAAATTTGCACCAAGCGAAAAAAAGTATATTTACAGTACATCCTATTACATGACATGAGCATTGTAGGCACCTAGGGCTTGCAGAGTTGCTTTCCTTAGGCAGTATTCAATATGGTGATCATGGGTTCAAACCCTGGTTTGTTCTGAGTATGTTTCAAGGTTTGCCAGCACCATACCCCAGTTCATGGCTTTCACCAAAGTAAGAGGCCTGACAAGTTCCTCTTTTCCTCACATGCTATGCAATGTTGTAGGTATGGAACTTCCAGAATGGTCACAACCTGCACAAGCTGGAGGCTGCAGCAGAGGCCGAGGTCACCGGGATCCTGCCAGTCCGGGACAAGAAGATCATCCTGTCAGTGGGCTGGAGCAGACTGCTGACCATCTACGATGACTCTGACCAGGACGTGAGTAGATAGCACCATCAATAAGTGAGTGAGTTTAGTTTTACACCGCTTACAGCAATATTCCAGAAATATCACGGCGGGGAACACCAGAAATTCACACATTGTACCCATGTGCGGAGTCTTTAGTGTGACAAGTGAATGCTTTAACCACTAGGCTACCCCACCACCCGATCAACATTACGTGAGAGGTAACACTTGTGTGCACTGTCATGGTAATATAGGTCCAGGATACATGATGTCAGTATTCAATCAGTAAGTAAAGATATACCAAGATCTACAAGAAGGCTGAAAGAGCAACATAGTGTTTGTTTTTGTCTAAATATTATATGCAGAATTTTGTGCAAAAAATAAAAACAATTTGTTTATTGTGCTTATATTTTGAGTATTAAATACTGGGCTTCTCTGGAGCACTGTACCCCTGAAAAAGTTGTAACCATTATTTCTTTGCAGTTGACAGCAGTACCTTATAAGTCACCTTTACTAAGCAATATCATGATATGACCTGCATGAAATCCCTTTGGGTTTCCGGTTTAGAATTGCTCCCTACAAACCTATGAGTGTGATAACTGCCTGTATAGATGTGAAGGTCAGGGTCAATGGCTGGGCAACCTGACGGTAATACCAATCACTGGTTTGTCTAGTCCAGACCAAATTATATATGTATATATGGCTGCTGTCACATCGCTGGAATATTGCTGAGACAGACATTAACTACCAGACAAACAAAGCTGTCACTACAGAATCGGAACCTACAATGGTATTTTGGTATTCCAGAACATGTACATCACTGCCAACCAAGACTGGAAAGGAGGACAACTCCACAAGGATGACATTCTCTCCATCGACTTCTGCCCACCAAACTTTGTTGCCACAGCAGGGTTTGATGGAGAAATAATTATATGGGATTTGGAAACAGAAAAAATGTTTATAAGATTACGAAAAGGACAGCAAACAAACTTGTGAGTAACATTTATCTGGGATTAACATGTTTTGATATTTTCTGCAATCTTTGTTGATAAATCTTTCATGTTTTACATCTACTGAATATTTTGATTCATTTAGAAATTGATATGTAATGTATATAAAAGATACAAAGAATTCCCATATTCCTGGAATTTTCAATAAAAGATGTCAAAAGCTCTGTGAAAAAAAATAAGTAAGTAATTTATCTTGTTAGATATCCCTCAACCCCTCAAAAAAGATTTGTGAAAGTGTCAACATTTTAAATTCTTTTGTGTCAAGCCAGTGCAACTTTCTAAAGATCCTTGAACATGGTGGCTAATAGTGCAGACAAACTGCCTGGAAGCTGAGTTATTCAGTGTATAGTGTATGATGATTCTCTCTTTGTATGAATCTCTCATGTCCATGTCTGTAATATCTACATGAATTTCCTTTGCAGAAATAGGAAAATAGAAGATTTAACAGCTTCTTTGAAAAATGAACGACCCAATTCTAGACACAAGAAAAAACACAGAGTTCCTAAAGGGTAAATGAAGTGGCTGATGTGTATCTGTGTGCTAATAATTGTTTTATATTTCAAACAATATATGCAAGCAAGCTCATAAAACAAATACATAGTTAGAATGTTGCCTATCATATCATCATTGAGATTCTTGGGTTGATGAAATATATTTATATATATATATAGTGTGTGTGTGGTGGGGAGCCTACATTAGAAAGGGTCCTGATAGACTTATATAGTAACGAGCAGAAAAAATGCGACAAAAAAACTTTATTCTGTAGACTCGATCCTACTATCAAAAAAGCCGAAATACATTGTTTCTAGCCGCCAGTAGCTTTCCTTGTTGGTATGGAATTATCTCCCTTGGGTTCAGGGATGGCTTGATCATGTGACCTCGTTGCTAGCAGATGATACCAAAGCTTTGCCATGACGTTACAAAACAACAGAAATCGACTCTTGGCATATTATGAAGCAGGTATTATATCCGTAACTAGACTTGTGAAACTGACGGGACTGCATCGGGCAGGGTTAGGGACAGGGTTAGGGACAGAGCGACAGGCTGGATTGGGACGTCGTGCTACTCTTGGAGCAAATGACAGATGATGTATCGCGCATCTCGCGGCGGCGTACCCAAACTGGTCTGCAAAACAGCTTGCCGTGAAGACGTCAAGTCAAGGAACCCCTAAGGTATCAGAATGGACAATCAGAAGATCTTTAAAGCTATCTGGATATGTCAAGCGAGTGCCGAAGAAAGTTCCATTGATGACAACAGCATATATGGAGAAAAGGCTCGGGTGGTGCAGGGAAATGCAAGGTACAGACTTTTCAAATGTGATTTTTACGGACGAATCAAAGTTTCAGTTTTATAGGATCACAAGAAAGAGGTGGTCAAGAGGTGGACGTAGCTGCAAAATGGTTCCGAACTTCTCACCCAGTGTAATGGTTTGGGATGGTATGGGCAAACTCAGGGTAACGCTATGCTAACTATTACAGGAAGGATGGATTCACACAAGTACTGTCAACTTATACAAGAAGGCATAGTGGAATCCCAAAAAGGACAGAGTGGAATACCTTTCAACCTTTTACAGGACAATGCACCTGTACACCTGTCAAGACACACCTGTAACTGGTTTGAAACGAGTCACGTGACCTTACAGAAATTTCCAGCGGCATCACCAGACCTGAAACCAATTGAAAATGTGTGGCAGATTATGAAGACAAATTAGAAAAGTTGGAACCGAAGAGTGTCGTTGAGTGGTCTATTCTCATCAGTCAAATATGGGTGGGCCTACCCCAGGACTACGTAGACAATTTGATTGACAGCATGGGACGCCATATTCAGCAGTGCATCGAGAGAAATGGTGGACTAACAGACTATTGACTTGCATAAATGTAAACTTCAGTATCCAGAGTGGATGTATGAAAAATATAACTGAATTTATCAGTAAATATATTTTGAAACTACGTCTGTGAAAAGTCGCATTTTTTTCTGCTCGTTACTGTACTTGCCTTATGAGGCAATTTTCATGGCCAGGTGTGTATCGTTGCTCAAATTAATATATCAGGGGTCATCTATTTCTGCCTCCATTTTCTCAGGCCAATATGAATCAAATGTGTGGAATATTGCAGAGCGCTCTGCGAAACAGAAAAACAGTTCATCTGATTCATGGGTTCAAAATCATCCTGTATTAAACTGCTTCCCCCTTCATCTGCCTGCTTTCATACATAATGTCCAGTCTTGAGTCCAGATTCTTGTTTGTCCATACAGTGAGCCGGTTCCTGTTGACAAGGTGATGTTCCTGCGAGACCGGGCTGCCACCAGGTTCACAGAGAGTGCAATGGTGGTGTCTAGTGAAGGGGGGTGTTCTCCACTGGTGGAATATCTACACCACGAGATCAGAGCTAGGTGCAGTTGCAACTGTTCACGCTTTAATGTGTCTTGTCTGTCTTATAACATTTTTGTATCAGCTCATCACCTGACAAAGGAGACCCTTTTCATTTGAGAATATCAACTTTGTCAGGTCTCTCCATGAGATAAACATGTTATGTTTTAAACAAAATGAAACCTTTTCTTTTTTGTGTATTTTCTTACATGATGTTCATGGTTTTAGTGTAAAATCCACAGCATGACAGGTCAACTGAAAAATATAGTTACAACAAAATAGTGAAATGGTGTTTAATCAGACATAAAACAGATATGTGATAGATTGATAGCTCTTTGTCATTATGGAGGCCCCCATTGGACAAATCAACCAACCTGTGAAGATCCGGGTTAGAATGAACCTTCAGTAACCCATGCTTGTTGTAAGAGGCGACTACCGGGATCGGGTGGTCAGGCTCGCTGACTTAGTTGACACATGTCATCAGTTCCCAATTGTGCTGTTGATCACTGGATTGCCTGGTCCAGATTCGATTATTTACAGACCGCCACCATATAGCTGGAATATTGCTGAGTGCGGCGTAAAACTCAACTCACTCACTCACTCACAAATCAACGATGGACCTAAAGCTTTAAATGCTCTTCTTCTTCTCCAGGTTTCTTCAGTGCAACAGACAGCATGGATGACTCGGTGTTGGCCATGTGTTCTAAACCCAACAACACAGCCTTGATTACAGGTGATACAGCTGGAAACATCAAGGTGTGGGACATATCTGAATACTGTGTCAAGCCAGACCCAAGACATGTGAGTACTGTCTCAAGCCAGATCCAAAACATGTGAGTACTGTGTCAAGCCAGACAATAGACATGTGAGTATTGTGTCAAGCCAGACACTACACATGTGAGTACTGTCTCAAGCCAGACACTAGACATGTGAGTACTGTGTCAAGCCAGACACTAGACATGTGAGTACTGTGTCAAGCCAGACCCAAGATGTGAGTACATGACCCAAGACATGTGAGAACTATGTCAAGCCAGACACAAGACATGTGAGTACTGTCTCAAGCCAGACACTAGACATGTGAGTACTGTGTCAAGCCAGACACTAGACATGTGAGTACTGTGTCAAGCCAGACATTAGACATGTGAGTACTGTGTCAAGCCAGACACAAGACATGTGAGTACTGTCTCAAGCCAGACCCTAGACATGTGAGTACTATGTCAAGCCAGACCCAAGACATGTGAGTACTGTCTCAAGCCAGACACAAGACATGTGAGTACTGTGTCAAGCCAGACACTAGACATGTGAGTACTGTGTCAAGCCAGACATTAGACATGTGAGTACTGTGTCAAGCCAGACACAAGACATGTGAGTACTGTCTCAAGCCAGACACTAGACATGTGAGTACTATGTCAAGCCAGACCCAAGACATGTGAGTACTGTCTCAAGCCAGACCCAAGACATGTGAGTACCGTGTCAAGCCAGACATTAGACATGTGAGTACTATGTCAAGCCAGACAGACATAAGACATGTGAGTACTGTGTCAAGCCAGACACTAGACACGTGAGTACTGTCTCAAGCCAGACCCAAGACATGTGAGTACTGTGACAAGCCAGACTGACTGAGTTTGGTTTTACGCCGCTTTTAGCAATATTCCAGCAACATCACGGCGGGGAACACCAGAAATGGGCTTCACACATTGTACCCATGTGGGGATTCGAACCGGGTCTAAGCCGTGATGAGCCAAAGCTTTAACCACTAGGCTAGCCCACCGCCCCATCCAAGCCAGACACTAGACATGTGAGTACTGTGACAAGCCAGACACTAGACATGTGAGTACTGTGTCAAGCCAGACCCAAGACATGTGAGTACTGTGTCAAGCCAGACCCAAGCCATGTGAGAACTATGTCAAGCCAGACACAAGACATGTGAGTACTGTCTCAAGCCAGACCCGAGACATGTGAGTACTGTGTCAAGCCAGACATAAGACGTGTCAGTACTGTTTCTCAGCACCAGTTCACCTAATATTTGATAAAGATAGTAAGGAAAAATCAGACTGGTGTTTGTTAGTTAAATATCGTGACGTTTATTTAATGTTCGCAGCGTGTAAGGACGTCGCCGCCCCTGGAAGCAGCATTCAAGGCCCATGATGCAGCAGTAGTCAGTGTGGAGTACCTGGAACACGATAACAGGGGTTTCATCCTCAGTGCCTCAACCGACAAGACTGCCCGCCTCTGGACGATTGACGGCTACTACGTTGGGACATTTGGTCAGGTAGGGAACTTGCTATTCAAGCTTGAATTACCCTGTAGTCAGTAAGTGAGAGTGAGTGAGTGAGGTTTTACGTCACTATATTCCACCAATATCATAGCAAGCAACACCAGAAATGACACATTGTACCCATGTGGGGAATAGAACCCAAGTCTTCGGTGTGATGAGCAAACACCTTTACAACTAGGCTACCCCACGCCCAAAAACCCTCTAGGTATCCTGCGTACCATTTAACCTGTCTCAGCATCAGTTTAAGTCTCATCAGCTTAAATTAGACTGGAAATTACACATCAAATGCATGACCATGTGTGTTGATAAGGTTAGGGCTAAATATCTTATGTGTTTGTCAATCTTTGCAAAAATAAACTGACGAAAATAAATTGCAACAATGAGATATTGACCTCCATGTTCCAGATGAAGGTTTCATGGCATTGAGAGCATGCTATACTGAGGCATCTGGAATACCACTCAGCATATCATGACCATTTTTTATATCCCTCCCCAAATATGTGTCTTATCTTATATATCACCCTTATATTTGGGGAACCCTTGATTAATTTTTACCCACCCATATCTTATGGTATGACATGAGAATCCCCATCACATTGCTCAGTATAAGGAAGTTGGGTATGTAGCTGCAGACGAAGCATTTATTTAACATACAGCACAGTTATGTTTACTACCAGTTACATGTAACATGAACACATACAAAATGACCTGTAACTAGAATTATAAATATGCCCATGTATTGACATGACGTCAATTGAAATTCTGATGAAAGGGAGGTAACTCTTGAATTGTCTGTTATCTTCACAGAAAATCCCATGGAATCTGAATGATGCCTCCACATGGGCCCATCCGAAGACACCGTTCAACATGGAGGACGAAGAAAAAGGTAATTAAAATATGTATCTGTGATAATGATGATAGGCTTATTCGTCCAGCAGGTTTTTTTGTTTTGGATACATCCACAATGAATTGATTTCTAAATGATTGAACCACAACTGATGCAGACTGCATGTTAACAGATGAAGCCAATGCTGATGGAGGCGAGGTCAAGAAAACCTCAACGACCTCTACACCTCGTGAGGACACCGATGAGGAGGAACAGTTGGAGATAGGAGAGGACAAAGAGGAGACAACTGCTGAGGAGAATAAGCAAGATGAAACCGACACACCAGAAACAAAGACCAAACTAGAAGTAGGTGTCTAGTTTCTTCGAGAGTCTGTCTGCCCCAGGATTCAAAATGTTGTAGTCTAAACACAGAGCACAAGAATATATATATATACCATGAATCAAATGCAGTTAATGTTTCAAGAATTTATTTTTTTATTTATTTTTTTTCATGTTTTTTTATTCATAGAATTATGTTTACAGAATTTACCTCAGTAGTACAGTACAGGTAGCTTCTTAGTATGCAAGTACAGTGTTTCTTTGATCTCATTGTCAAATAACATGCTGTTCACAAATATGTAAAAACGGTCAAAAACTAAGCATGTGAAAGTGTTACATGTTTACAGATTTTACCTCGGTAGTACACAGTACAGTACAAATAGTTTCATTGTACACAAGTACAGTGTTTCCTTTGTCACTCCCTCTAACATCATGCTGTTCACAAATATGCAAAATGGTCAAACTAAGCATGTACGTGAAGTATGACATGTTTACAGACTTTATCTCAGTAGTACAGTACAGTACAGGTAGCCTCCTAGTACACAAGTACAGTGTTTCCTTGATCATATTTTCCCATATCATGCTATTCACAAATATGTAAAATGGTCAAACTAAGCATGTATATGAGTGTTACATGTTTCACAGATTTTACCCAGTACAGTTCAGTGCTATACCCACAGTACAGGTAGCCTCATAGTACACAAGTAGTGTTTCCTTGATATTGTCAAATATCATGCTATTCCCAAATATTAAAATTGTCAAACTAAGCATGTATATGCAGTGTTACATGTTTACAGATTTTACCTCAGTAGTACAGTACAGTACAGGTAGCCTCATAGTACACAAGTAGTGTTTCCTTGATCACATTGTCGAATATCATGCTGTTCACAAATATGTAAAATGGTCAAACTAAGCATGTATATAAAGTGTTTACATGTTACACAAATCTGTTGATAAAAGTTTAATTATTGGCAAATAATGTATGGAAGGAGGACCAAAAGCTAAAAAAGTTGGCATAATTACAATTTGAAAAAGCTATCATTTTGTTGCTTCATAATATTTGATAACTTCTTTTTTTAATATATCTAATATTCAGAGTTTGCTTTTTTCTGCTTCTTCTATAGAGAGCTTCTTTAACCACCAAGATTACAGCATTCAATGGATTATTGTGTTTGCCTTTAAATCCAAATATAATATTCTCTAGAGAAAAATTCATTTCACCCTCTGAAACAGTTCTAAGCCATTTTTCTACTTCCTTCCATATCTTTTTCACATGAAAGCATTCAAACAGCAGGTGTACCATGGTTTCTTAATCTTGTCCACAGAATGTACATAAGTGTGATTCAGATATTCCTATCTTATACAAGAAGCTATTTGTTGCTAAAATATTATTCACTATTTTAAATTGGAACCATCTCATATTCACACTCTCAGTACATCTATAAGACATCAGATTAATATTTTCTTGTTCTGATCTATCAATTATTCTATTCAAACACTTTTGACATTTTTCCAGTGCATCTGTACTGAAGTCTGGAGCAAATAAAATCTGATAAAACATTTTACTACCCTTTTGTGTATTGATTATGCTGTATACATTAAATGGGAGAGTAGGATCATATATCCTTTCTTTGTAATCATTAATCAAACATCTTCTAATGTATCTCGATCCTGTTGACTTGAGCCCTTGATATAGGATAAAATTTGTTTCTAAATTATATGTTTCTACACGTTTGTTAAAGGAATAGATTTCTCCCTTTTCATTGAACATATCCTTAATAAAACATATACCCTTTCCTATCCAGTGCCTATATTCAACCCATTTGCCACCAATAGAGATATTAGAGTTGTACCATAATGATTGAGTCTTTATGTCTGACATATTTGTAATCTTATCATAGCATTTGGATAGGTACAAACCCAATGCCGATACAACATCCCTCCAAAAAATATTTGTAATGTATGGTAATAAAGTAGTGTACGTATATAAACAATCCGCCAACCATAGGGTATCTATTCCTGGGATAAATATTCCAGCATGTTTGACCCAATATGACTTATTATAAAGTCTTTTTATCCATGATAGTTTTTGTGATAATATAGTTGATTTAACATCAGGTACCTTAATTCCTCCATATTTAGGTGGTTGTGTCATGACACTTCTCTTGACCCTATCTATCTTACTTCACCATATGAAGTTAAAACATTCTGAAAACTATTTAGCTGTTTGTCTGGAGGGTTAGGTAAAGAGGCAAACAAGTGATTCATTTTAGGTAGTAGTAAAGATTTCAAAATAGTATTTCTACCCATAGGTGTTAAATGTCTAATTGACCATTGTTTCATTTCTTTTTCAATATTTTTAAATTTCTCTTTATAATTTAAGTTTACCATTTCTTCTAAATCTACACTGAAATTAATCTCCAGTAATTTAAAATGTGTCTGACTCCAATCCAAATTCCACTCTTCACAAAGCTTATACTTAGATCTCTTTTTTGACCCAATCCAAATTAATTTAATCTTCTCAACATTAACCTTAAGTCCAGAAAATCTTTCAAAAAAGTGAAGAATATTCATAACAGCATACAGACTTTTCTCCGACCCATCCACAGACACAGTAGTATTATCTGCAAATTGTTCTAAAATATGTTCTATATTGCCCATTCTAATACCTTTAATATTTTTTTCATTTCTTATCAATATAGCCAATATTTCAACACACAATATAAAAATATATGGTGATATCGGATCTCTCTGGCGACAACCCCTTGTAACTGGGAAAATGGTGTTTGCGAAACCATTGACTAACACACTCGATTCAATATCTGTAAAAAAAGTGGAAATCCACTCTCTCCAAAATTGAAGAATCTTAATACGTTTATCATAAATTTTCTATCTACCGAATCAAACGCTTTTTCAAAGTCTATAAGTAGTAATAATCCTGGAATCTGAAATGTATCAGTATAATCCATTAAATCATATATACTTCTAGTGACCTCCCCTATATATCTGCCTGACACAAATCCCTTTTGGTTTTCATTTATTAACAACTCTAAGACTTTTTTAATTCTATTAGCTATGGCTGCCGATGCCAATTTATATGAAGTGTTCAACAGTGATATTGGTCACCAATTCTTGAGGTATATTCTTGGTTTGTTATCCTTAGGCAAGCATGTAATTAAGCTCTGTTTTTGAGTTACTGATAGGGATCCTACTTTATAAGCATAGTTAAGAGAACATGCTTCAAGAAATTAATGCGAGTGTCAAAGTCTCACATCATGTCCAGCATTTGTAGTGACTCTGGTATGACAACTCAAATACTTCCTCATATAAATATGTTACTTTATAAAGCAATGAAGACTCACAGTTTTAGCATTAATTCCATGCAGACTTACAGTATTGTGTTGATGGATCACCAATGTTTGGCCATGAGGTGGTTCCTAATTGTCTGTCATTTCTTCTTTCTCTGTGTATATAGAACCTGTCATCAGTACTGTCGTCACTCTTCACCAGAGACCATATATCGGTATATGGTCTCTGCTCTTCACAACTTATTGCATGGTATCTAACTTTATTTTGAAATAAAACCATGATGACGCCAACAACAATATGCGCTACTTGAGTGTCTAGAACAAGTCCTATTTTACAAGGCAAATGTTAAAATATATATTTAAAAAATTGTGATTATCTCACAAATTTGTATGTGTTAGGAGGCACATTTTTCAATTTGAATGCACTCCAATAAGACTTTTTCACACATTTTAGCCTCAAGGATTGATGTTTATGTCATTATCTGTCTAAAATATGCAAGTTAAAGGTCACATGCAACCAAAAAATCAAACATAATTAAAACACAATTATCACTTATTCATGACATATAATACACATTGCTGATTATGAAAAAACATATAAACAAAATTATAAAGCGTACAATCTCAAATCAAAAGTGCAATATTTTGTACTTGGATTTATTTCCCTAGAAAGGAAGCAGCCGGGATACCGAACCCAGTCAGAGCGGGTGGGTGTGCACTCAAGTGTAACGGCTGGTTCATTTGCAGATTCCCTCACGGCTCATTGTGTGTGTATATATAGAGATGTTGGGTGTTGTAAATACATGCTCATTTTTTGTGTATAACATTTTGCAATCAACACACATCATAACATGTCATGTGTACAAGTATCACACCTGCCTGTCTGTGTAATTACATAGTGTGACAGAGACCGAACTTGGGCCATAATTCAATGTGTTTTGTTTATGGTGTATAGCCTGATAGGTGTTAAGTTCAAATTGCATGTGGCCAGTGATTGAAGTTGTGTATTGAATATTGTCATTAGCAGACAGGCAGACACATAGGTGTCAATAAAACTGACATTGAGTTTTGTCTGTGACAACGACGGTGTCCTCCCATTACGCAGACAGCCAGTTCGCAGACACCTTAAAACAACAACATTTACGGTTCAGTGAACAGATTATCTACTACCTGTTACCTACACATTATAATGGAATAGTCCAAATAAAAACACAGGAACAAACTGAAGCTATATTATTTATTTTGAAAGATGGATGAAAAGACAGTAATTTGAATTATTATTGCTTCAATATAAAAACAGTATATTTTCATAAACATTTCGGTTTAACCTTCTAGTCTAATGGCATCATCATATTGAAAACATTAGCTTAGCTATTAGAAATTGTTAAATCGGTAGTCTACTGTCATAACATATAAAAAGCTCGCGCCTGTGAAATATCAACAAAACATTAGAAAAATAGCTCACACCAAAGCCTTCACCGAGTATTCACCGGACAACCCACTTCCAAGCTGCACAAACCTATTTCACTGCGCATGTGCGATGAGCGCAGCCCAGTGCAGCGCAGCCCAGCTGTTGAAACCACTTTTCCCCCAAGCGCTGGGGGATAATTAGTGAATCGTTTGAACTCCGATTTCGCGACATTTTTTCATCGCATTATTTTTCAACTTTATAAGTTGAATTTGCATTTTTGATGATTTGTTTTGGTAAGTCCAAACTGAAAGGTATCAGAATCTGCAAAGTTGTGTTTTACGTTGCATGTGACCTTTAAGTCTAATTCATGGAAACACATATTTGTGTTTCTAAATTTGGAAGACCTTGTGAGACAAAAACACCTAATCACTTCCTGTATTTCCTCATGATATTGTACACAGACAGTGCCAGAACAGATCAAGTGCAAGTTACATATACTATTCACACTTTGCTAAGGATTGAATCATTGATTCAACAGAAAACTATGATGTGGGGTCAAATTTGGTATATAAATATAAGCCTATTGTATGCCTGGATCCAAGTTTTCAGTATGTCACTGAATCTTGTGAATCCCATACCTGCTATTGGCAGGCGTTGTGTACTTGTCAATGACCCATTCCATGATTTGCAAAATGGTTGCTTGGTGCCATGAAAACCATTTTTATGGTTACTCATGCATCAAGTGCATACGGTTAGATTAAAGTGGCTGTTTTCCTAAGGATGTGTTACCATATCATTATTTATCCAGTTTTAAATGGATACAATTTCAAATTATAAATCTACGTTAAAGTAAAGTTGCGAATTTTTGTGATCCTTAGCAAAGTGTGAGTAGTATATAATAGAATATGACATAACATGTAGGTCTGTATTGTCTCCTAAATCTTAAAATGTAAATCAATAAATAATTGCTTTGAAAATCAAGTCTCAAGTAAAATAGTAGTTACACCAGCTTTCAAATGATGAGACACTTAAAAATAAACGATTGTTACAAGGAATATTGTTTATAGTGAAGTTATATAATTAAAGAAAAATACTAAAATATTGCACTGCTATAAATTCTAATTTTAATTTTCAAATTTCAACATATGTTGCATATGGAAAATTAGCTTTAAAGTAAAATGATATAATATGACACCTACAATATACATCAAGATTTTTCAATATCTCAAAATCTGAATAACTTATGAATTGATAAATGATCATATTGTAGAATCAGGTCCATATACAAATAAACTTTGAGATAAATCTGCTAAAGATGAGTAGGATCCTGTATCTCTGCACAACACCAAGTCTGTTATCTGTACCACTTCTATCATATGCACATTTCTGTCACAATCCCATTCCCACAGGCACGGCCTATGTCTGTGGTTGTCCGTCCTACAAAGTCGGTCAGCAGTGAATTCCCTCGAGACGCAAAACTGAAGTACCGATCACAAACATTTGCATTTGGTTTCGAGAGGACAGACCCTTCTAAGGTATAGTATGTCCCCAGTAAGGATTTCAATTAATTGTTTAAAAATGTTTTCACATTGCACTGCACTGCTGTGAATGTACTTTCTTCTTATTTTAATTGCCTGATATTTTATTGCTTTTAAGATTTTGTATTATGTCTTTTAAGATTTTATAATTGCTGTTGACTGTGTTGATCAGTTTACATTTTCAGTTGTATAAGACATATGTCAGATAGTATTCTGATAATTGCAGTGTAAAGGTCCTAGCCTTTTCTAAGGTACAGTTGTAATTGTGTGGACTGATAATCCATGATTATATATTCAGTAGGTTATTCTATATATTAAGGTATTGTGACTTTAAGAAAGAAAAATATGAACAATCTATAAAATTTCTATATGAAAAGAATGTTCAATGAAGAAATCCTTCTCTTCCGATGATGTTATGTCAACACTTTCTGACATTCTGAAAAATGAAGCGTACATTCTGTTGTATCTGTTAACTCACTATGAAATTCCACTTTAAAATGACTAATGTATTAGTTATCTCCCTTGCCTGGAGGCTGAATCAGTGAGTTGGGTTGAACACCACTTGGAACTGTACTCCATCAATATTGCCTTGACTGAGCTTGATGTTGGAGGAAATGATACAGTTCTCAGACGTTCACAAATTTGGTGAAACAGCTACACATTGACAACTTTGGTGAAACAGCCAAATGTTGACAACTTTGGTGAAACAGCCAGATGTTGACAACTTCAGTGAAACAGCCAGATGTTGACAACTTTGGTGAAACAGCTAGACATTGACAACTTTGGTGAAACAGCTAGATGTTGACAACTTTGGTGAAACAGCTAGATGTTGACAACTTTGGTGAAACAGAGATTGACCCCTTTGATAAAACTGACGTTGACCACTTCTGTATGGTGGTGAGCACCTCAGAAACATAACTGGAGCCTGGAAGATTAACGGAGTAGTGTGGCATCAAAGGGCAAACGCCAAGGTTATTTCACTCATTATGTCCACTCTATAATTTATGTGTAAGTTTTCCCCAATATTGCTTGTCGTTAAACAGTGTTGACAGTGTCAGTGTTCCCTTGTAGACATTCCTGGGGGTGAAGGTGGAAAAAGAGTTTGCCCGTAAGAAACAGGACCGCCAGGAACGCCGGACTGTGTTTGGGGAGATCAACCGGGGCACCACTGCCAGATTCGGCAAGCTGTGTTCCCCCTACCAGGCACTGACCACTACGGTAATGCATTATTCTGTATCACTTGGCAGGACCTGTGTAACATGCATACAATGTATTTTGTCAGTTAGAATATTAGAAGTGACCCTTTCATTTTAATGTTCATTTTGGATGTTTTTCTTATTATTTTCTGTTGTTGTTGTTTTCAAATCATCTAAGATGATCAAAGTGAAAAAAGAATAATATCAAATCATTTTCAGTTTATTTTCTGATCATGGATTTGTTGTGGTCAGTCAAATCTGTAAAGTAAAAAATTCAGAAAGAATCATCCAAATCTTGTTGTGAATAGAAGTGTTGCTTTTGGCAATATTACAGCAATATCACGACAGGGTAACACAAAAAATGGGATTTACACATTGTACCATTATGGGGAACTGAACCGCAGTCTTCAGCATGACTAAAAAGCTTTGACCACTAAGCCACCCAACAGCACTCAGTGAACAGTATAGCTTAGTTTTGAGGGATTGATCATGTATTGATCATGTATTTACTGGATGATATCATGTGTGCCTGACAACCTGCTATAAATGACATATCTCTTATGCAAAAACTGTTGTCACATACTATTTTCATGATGGCATGTTACAGTCTTTGAATAATATGGGACCCTTCATAATTTATGGCTAGGGGAGTGATGATGATTTTAAGGGGGTCACCCATTTTGTACTGGGGAGGTAGGGGGGTCATCAATTTTGAAAACATGTACTAAGTGGAGTCAGCAATATAAAGATGTTATGCTTAAAAATTATGGGGAGGGGGGGAAGGGGTAATTGATTTTGTACATGACATGCATTCACATTGTGCATGCTTCTCAATAAAAATCATCACCCCCACCCCCAGCCATAAATTATGAATGGTCCCTAACTAGTGGACTATCCTGAATTTCAAAGATTACTGTCATAATGATAGCAATGATGCATGCTATTGTCCAAATTTCAGGACTTTAAAGATGTCCAGCTTCCAGAAAAACTGCCGGTCAGTGATCGGCTCAAGAGTCTTGGTTTTACCGGCATCAATCCCACTGAGAGTGACATCACTGCATTAAACTTCTCGTATGAAGTTCCGGACTCACCCCCTAGCGGGGAGGATACTTCCTTCTCCCGTTTGAATCTCACCAGTAAGGGATCTGACAGTTCAACTAAACTTCCACCTATCAAATCTGGGAGGTGGTCAAAACTATCGGATAAAATGGGTGGGTCCAAAAAGTCGTCAACTGTGGCATAGTACATCCAGAATCTCTTGTATGTGAAGAAGATTATGTTACTGTATATAAGCAGTTTTGTGGAAGATATTATCTGTACATATGCTGTTCAGAGTAAGACTGAACAGGGAGAAGGCAGTTTTAGTTATTACTGGGAACTATCTCATTGGCGATCTCCTGAAAGATTTGATGGCATGTTTTGCCATTCTTTTGCAAGAACTGTAAAATAGTAAAAGAAAGTTCTTATTTGCCTCTAAATTAAGCCATCACTTTAACATTGAATTCATATACAAACATGGATATAAATCTGCACTAAGCCATTTAAAAATTTGAAATCCCACTCACAAAATCAAATTTAACCAAGCATTGAACAAGATCACTAAAACATTTAGTGTAATTTTTGAGTGTGTTGCACGATGTGTACAATGTATTTCATATTAAGGCATGACTGTTGGATGATAATGTAGTGCAAGGTCTTTAACTTCTTTCAAAATTCGTAAACAACAAAAGCTGTATTAGTGATATGACCACACAAAAAGGAAAATTCTGCAATTTTATATTATTCCACCAATAACATGGAATTCTGCAATTTTATATTATTCCACTAATAACATGGAATTCTGTGTTTTTTGTACATGAACAATCAATGTCTGTTCATTTCACAGAATGAATTATGACATATTTAGTTTTCCGGAAACTAGCTTTGCAGATTTACAGTCTTTCAAGCAGTGGTAGGACAATAGTACATGATAATTTGCTGACCACTTATTGACAAGTAGGTATGTAAAAGTACATCTCGTGTTTAGGGTACATGGTATGTTCTAGATGATGTGCAGCATATGTTAACCCTTTCACTGTCACCACGAATCATATCAGCTGTTCTATGAGATAACAGTAATAGTACTTTGTCCTCCTTGCCCATCAACCACCACTGTCTGAAGCAGCAATCTTTGACCTGTTCACCATGTGGGATGTCTGGGAATGTTTTATAGATATATATTCTTCATTTGTCCAACTATGAGAGCATGAGTGAGTGGTTTGGGTTTATCGCCGCTATGAAGAGTTTTAAAGTTACACCACAGCTTGTCGCCTTGACGTGGAAGGAACTCCAAAAGTGATGCAGGCCGTAGATGTTTACTGCTTAAGTGAAACAGTTCTGACAAAACTAGGAATAGTATCAGGGCAAATTGGGACCTGAAATCATCAACATAGCTGGTGAGCATAGGTTTGACTCTGACAAAACTAGAAATAGTATCAGGGCAAACTGGGACCTGAAATCATCAACATAGCTGGTGAGCATAGTATGACACTGGCAAAACTAGAAATACAGTCTGTAGTACAGCAAACTGGGACCTGAAATCATCAACATAGCTGGTGAGCATAGTATGACACTGGCAAAACTAGAAACATCACAGCAAACATATCAACATAGCTGGTGAGCATAGTTTGACACTGGCAAAACTAGGCAAACTGGAACCTGAAATCATCAACATAGCTGGTGAGCATGGTTTGACAAATCAAAACTAGAAATAGTATGGTGAGCAAACTGGGACCTGAAATCATCAACATAGCTGGTGAGCATAGTATGACACTGGCAAAACTAGAAACATCACGGCAAACTGGGACCTGAAATCATCAACATAGCTGGTGAGCATAGTTTGACACTGGCAAAACTAGAAACATCACGGCAAACTGGGACCTGAAATCATCAACATAGCTGGTGAGCATAGTATGACGGCAAACTGGGACCTGAAATCATCAACATAGCTGGTGAGCATAGTTTGACACTGGCAAAACTAGAAACATCACGGCAAACTGGGACCTGAAATCATCAACATAGCTGGTGAGCATGGTTTGACACTGGCAAAACTAGAAATATAAAGGAAGGCCAACCTGGCCCGAGGTTACAAGTTGTCCTGAGTGTCCTGCATATGATTTCATGCTCAAATCTGGTTTCGTGCTCGACTCAGACTCGGTAAACGATGGTTATTAAAAATCTGAGTATGTTTCCATGCTGAACTTGAGCATGAAATAAGTATACTTTGGACCATGATCAACACTGAGGTCAGTGTAAACAATGGCAGCTCACCTGTGTCATATTCGCCAACCTCGGCGGAAAACCCTTGTTCACCTGGGCCTACATTTTCGAAGCTCTCTTAGCGCAATGATAGTCGTAAGTTAATGTTAATGTATGGCACTTAGGACTATCTTAGCGCTAAGAGAGTTTTGAAAATCTAGGCCCTGACCATGAGTCAGTATGACAATAGCTGTCATTCACACAGTTACAAGTTTCTAGGATAATTGATGACTTGGGGTTGTTTTCAAAATATTGTATCACCTTGTATACATTGACATAGACTTGTTTCTCCTTTTTTCAACCGTTACCCAGATCTTTCCTCTTTTTTACTGTAAATAGATCAATAGTGAATATTCCTAGGCATATGTTGGAATATTGTGTTCACTGTCCGTTTACTGAAATTTATTTATTTGTGGTTTGTGCAGTGAAATTATATTGAATACTAAATATCGTTCAGTATGAATATTTGGAAGAAATAATTATAAACATGTGTAAGTATCTGTATATAATATATATATATCAATATATGTTGAGTTATACAGAGTTGTACAGAGGAACCTATGGGTAACACAGTCCAGTAATATTCTCACATGTATATAACACTGGTAGCCATTTTAGTAATACGCTTATGTACAGACTAGAGAACAAGGAGGGCAAACTTGAATGCAGTTCCACAAGTTATTAAATGCTGTTGAAATATGATTAATATTATAACTCAGAGTTAAGGTCACACTGAAATTATCATCTGGGTGCCGTTGTACAAAACAACCTTAGCGCTGAGACTACCATAAGTCTCTGTTAAGGTATTGGAGTTACGGTCACCTTAGCGCTAAGATCACTTTGTACAATGGCACCCTGATCTAATATACCAAATTCTTTTCCTACTGTGACATGAAACATAACAATAATTGCTTGATTAGCTTGTCAAATGACAAAGAAACAGCAACATTTTATTTAGGAAATGGTAACTGGTATATTCAATCAAGAATACGGAATACCTTGATTTGAAGTATCAATATGATGCAATGTCTATGTTCTATGTTGAAAAGTCCTAGCAATGACTATGCAAGTCCTACAAGGATTGATGTCAAAAGGCTACAATTCAAGAGAGCCATTTACCATTTCTCCTTCTCATTACTATAGACAAATGTAATAAGTATTGAAATTTAGGGTGTCTTTTTGACTTTAAATATACACTTGATGCCCTTATAAATAGCCTCCATGTATACCACATCACCTTTCACAATATAATGGACCGTTCATAATTTATGGCTAGGGGGGTGATGATGAATTTGAGACCGAATTTGAGGGGGGTCACCCATTTTGTTCTAGGGAGGTAGAGGGGGTCAGCAATTGTGTACATACAAATATTAAACATATGCTTAGAAATTATGGGAAGGAGGAGGGGGAATAATTGATTTTATACATGACATGCAGGGGGGGTCACTTACTTTGTGCATAAATTTTAGGGAGGTGTCATTCACATTGTACATGCTTCTCCATAAATATCATCATCACTCCCCTAGCCAAAAATTATGACACTGACATTTCACATATTTCCCAGATGAAATGCATGCATTATTCTCCAGCACAAATAGATTATTTTGCAAAGGAATTTAAACAACAGGATAAACCTGTAGGCAGTTTGGAACTGTAGGCAGTATGGGAATACACCAAGGAGATAATAACCTTTTTGATCTCTACAATTTAGGCACATGATTAGTTTATTGATCTAGTATTGCCCCTTACAGCTATTTGGAAGAACACTAAGCTAGGGAGGACTGACCCATGCGACATTGCTGTGGAGACCCTTTATCATCATAAATGTAAAGATATTTCACAACAAAAGGTCAGAAATTTAATCAAATTGCATCAGCATACATATTTGGAAAAAAGTTGCATAAATATTGTGAAAAAAGAGTTTAATGTATATATAGCTGACTACAAAATATGGTATACTTTAGATTTTCAGGTTTTTTTGGTTAATTTATTGTTGGATCAGCATTCTGGAGGTTGGTGAGTGAATAAGGAAGAATGCAACTTTAATAGGATTTACCTAGCACTAATAGCAATGGACCGTTTTCAGTAGCATCAGATCTGACAAATTACCAGAATGAAAAAGGCTTATTCTGACAATATTTCATAAATATCTCTGGTAATTTATGTACAATGATTTTTGGTTTCTGTGTATAACATTATGAAATATACTAGATCATGTTACCAATTTTGTTAAGTTTATATTTTTATACATTTCAAATCCATATATTTTACATGTGTGCTCTGTTGTATATGCAAATTATATCACAACAATAAATCTGTTTTCAGTTATTTGTGATTTATAACTTTGTGACACCCAATCACCAATTGCCAGTTACTTTTAATCTCCAAGATTGGATCTTAATGGTAATCGAGATCATATTTCACTGAACTATGAAATCATCCAAGGAATGAAAATATAAATTAAAGGTCACATGCAACAAGAAAAACCAAACATAATTAAAACACAATTATCACTACTTCATGACATGTAATATACATTGCTTGTGTGATTATCTCCTAGGAGATATCGTTTTGACAGTAGATTTTGTACAATGCCCTGACAAAAATTATAAGCGTGACATCGCTGCACTGCAAGTCTAATGGCAGTACCATGTTCAGAGATGTGTTTTCATTGAAAATTAATGAAGAGTGATTTTGATGTAATAGAAATATCAAATATATCAACACTCGTTGATAAAGTTAAAACATCCTCGGCAAGCCTCGGATATTTGTAACTTTATCAACTCGTGTTGATATAATGCATATCATAGAAATGATCGATTCTCTATATACATTGCTGATTATGAAAAAAAATAATAATAATTTGTAAGCGTACATTCGCAAACCAAAAGTGCAATATTTGGTATCCAATCAGCTGATACTGAGATGGTGAACTACTGCGTGGCTGGAAACTGTCGTTTGTTCAAGTACAAAGCAGGACTTGAAACTGACAATCTGAGTTTGCACCGGTTTCCGTCCGATCCATGCAGTCATCCGAGAAAAATGGCTGCTGTTTGTTTGCAACCCACAGACATAATATCATGTAACATATGTTATATTTGGGATTACACTTTCTTAGTAAAGTACAAATTCTAGTACTTTCTTTGAGTTGAGCCCCATCCAGGATTCGAGCTCACACCCTCAGAGTCAGGCACCTGATCGCCAGCACACAAAGTCAGCCGCCTAACCCGCTCAGCTACCGCGACTTCCACAAAAATGGAAGTCGGACAACTGATAGTCTAGACTGCGGACTTTGTGTACCCCTCTGATAGGTGTTAATTGGCACGGCTCCCACGGCCGAAAGCTATGATTACACAATGCCATTTAGAAAGACTCTGAGGGTGTGAGTTCGAATCCCGGATGGGGTACAACTAAAAAAAGTACTAGAATTTGTACTTTACTAAGAAAGTGTAATCCCAAATATAACATATGTTACATTTGACTACTTTCTAAATGGCATTGTGTAATCATAATATCATGTCATGTGTACAAGTATCACACCTGCCTGTCTGTGTAATTAAATAATGTGACAGAGACAGAACTCAGGTGCACGAGCCATAAATCAATGTATTTTGTTTATGGTGTATAGCCTGATACGTTTCAAGTTTAAATTGCATGTGGTCAGTGATTGAAGTTGTGTATTGCATATTGTCATTAGCAGACAGGCAGGCAGACACATAGATGTCAATAAAACAGACATTGAGTTTTGTCTGTGACAGAGACTGTTTATCACAATCAACATATTTTTTGTTTCCATAGACATGTATTAAAACATTTCAGTTTTCAAGCTGAGCAATTTTAAACAAAGAAATTAGTATTTCTAATGCTCCACTTTCTTGAAAACTTGGTTTGCAAATCTGCCAACCCCCCAAAAGCAAGATGTGAAAACATATAAGAAAACGCATGTGACCAGTGTCACAAGAATCATCTTTTGTTCTCCAACTTCGACCACAGCGATAATCCTTGCACGCATCACTTGCTGTGTTTTTACGAGTCGCCTTCCCGGTTCAAGCCGCACGAACCTAACCACTGCGCATGAGCTATGGGCGCAGCGCAGCGCAGCACAGCTAAGCTGTTGAAACCACTTTTCACCCCAGCGCTGGGGTGAAATTAGTGTATCGTTTGAACTCCGATTTGGGGGGTGGGGTGGTTTGTTCTTGTTGTTGTTGGTGGTGGTGGTTCATCGCGTTATTTTTCAACTTTATAAGTTGAATTTGCAATTTTGATAATTTGTTACTGTAAGTCCATACCGAAAGGTATCAGAATCTGCAAAGTTGTGTTTTGCGTTGCATGTGGCATTGTTCTAATGAGGCACAATCACTGTGGTAGCAAGAGGGACACTCCATGCTGTCATTAGAGGTAACTGAAACTTGGAACCTACTGCTCAAAATAGTTGTTGAGTTTGTTGTTTAATTCTGCACTCCACAATATTCCAGCTATATGGCTGTGGTCTGTAAATAATGGGTGAACACGTTAATCCAGTGATTGGCATGATGAGCACCAATCTGTGCAAGTGGGTAACATGTGACCACCCGATAATAATAATAATAATAGTCCATTTATATTGCGCGTTTATCCATGCGTTCATGCATGCTCAAAGCGCTGACATATTACCCCTGGTCAACGAGTAAGGAACACTCTATGTGGAGAATACAACCGGTCGCCTGTCAGGCGCTCAAGGTTCAAATTCAGACTACCATCGTATCATACCAGGTACCCAATTTTACTGCTGGGTGGACAGAGGCAATTTTGAACAAACTCACTTGCCTAAGGTGAGACCACATGCGTCACATGTGCTTCGTTGTGGGGCAGGACTGAAGTCCTAGAAACTTTCAGGACTCAAGCTGCCAAACACGGTCACCCATCCGAGGACTGTCCGCGACCAACGTTGCGTAACTTCAACTGAATGTGACCTGAGCTCTACGCACAGGACCACACACCGCCACGATAGTCTTACTGAATACCATAACATTGTTATACATTGAGTATGATCAGCAGTTTTAGGTGTGATGAGAGGGTCTCACAAATTTCAACTGACACCACACAGCAACTGAACATATAGGGGCGGTGGGGTGGCCTAGTGGTTATAGCGTTCACTCGTCACACCGAAGACCCGGGTTCAATTCCCCACATGGGTACAATATGTGACGCCCATTTCTGGTGTCCGCCACAGTGATATTACTGGAATATTGCTAAAAGCGGTGTAAAACCCAACTCACTCACTCACTCACTGAACATACATCCACACCACTTGTATGGTATATACTGATGTACAAACGAAAGTACACACCCGGTGTATTGAGAGTATTCCCAAATAAACAAATATTTTGCTAGCAATGTTGTAATTGGGTACGATATCTGGTGTTATAACAACACGTACATAATGTTTGTGACTTGTAAGTCACAATCAAAACACTTTCCTAACTTTAACGCTGTTATTAAGAAAATATTTAACCAAAAATGGTCAGGTGTGTACTTTCTTTTGTACGTCAGTATATTTAACCTGTAAGGTTTATTAAACCTATAGCCATCTGTCTCTCAAACACCATAAACCAGTCAGAAAATCTAAACTGAAACATTTTGTCCTACAGCTTCAAACCTAGTAACATTATTGAAAATGACAGATATCTTTAAAGACAACTTTAAGGAAAATATTATACAGTTTATGAACAGCACAAGTTAGCATGATTAAAAACATCCAGCTGTTATAAAACGAGAAAGCTGTGAGGAATTGTAAATAATTATTTAATAATGTATATAAAAACATAATGGTGTAGATTCAGGTTAGAATTGGTCTTCAGCAACCAATGCTTGTCGTAAGAGGCCACTAACGGATCGGGTGGTCAGAATCGCTGACTTGGTTGACACGTCATAGTATCCCAGTTGCGTAGATAGATGCCCATACTGTTGATCACTGGATTGTTTGATCCAGACTCGATTATTTACAGACAGCCACCTTAGAGCTGGGATATTGCTGAGTGCAGAGTAAAACTAAGCTCACTCACTCACTCCTGGTTAGTTACGGGCGGTGGGGTAACTTAGTGGTTATCATGCTGAAGGCCCGGGGTCGATTCCCCACATGGGTACAATGTGTGAAGCCCATTTCTGGTGCCCCCAGACGTGATATTGCTGAAATATGCCTAAATGCCACTAAACTCACTCACTCACTCGTGGTTAGCTACAAATGTACTGAGAATCAAATGACTTGATGTTAAAACTGCAGACAGTACACCGGTTGTAACAGCTTAGGTTAGTATGGGATGCCCCAAAGGGGGATTAAGTTGATGCCTGTCTGAGATTATTACCAGATAGGTGAAAACAAAGAGCATGTGAGTTGTGTCATAAACCAAGAAACATTATTAGAGCCGATCTGGGATTCGAACCACGGTCATATAGGTTTCTGTCACGTCAACGGGACATAACTCTGCAAAATTTATCTGCGGCGACTGAGATGACTGCGCACCCGTCCTTGTGAAACAGGGGTGACCTGGATTTGATAAAATCAGACAACAGAGGCATTCCAGTCAGCAAACCTGCACAGTCGTGTTACATGCCTGCCTTGACTAGCTATCACATCCTCTTTGTATTCCGAATAGGTTATGCGTGCTCCATTATTACAGTTAGTGAGTGTTTTAATTGCCTTATGAACGTATTATTTTTTATCAGGACTTTCACAACAATGAATATGCAATGTCGACATATGAACACAACACAGCCAGGTCGCTAAATTCATCAACGTTACCAAGGATTAATTCTAAATATCCTTCAAGAGGGCGTAACCTTGTGGATCAGACAAAATCTTCTATGGGCATGTCTCGAAATACGAATATCAGGGGCGGATACGGTCTTTTGAGAGAGTGGGGGTGCACACTCTTGAGAAAGGAGGGATGCACACTTCATTTTCACGGGAGTTTTAATGGTCATTTAATAAACTTTCAGGACAAAAGGAGGGTGCGCACGCCTGCACCCCCCTCTGGATCCGCCTATGCAATATCTAGGTATATATTCGATGATTACTTGGGCTCCTCGCCATAAAGTGATAGCAACGCTGCGGTTTTCTTAAGTCCATGTTTAAGTGTGTGAGTAACGGTCGTCTTAACGCTGTGATCGTTTTGTGAAACCTCCCCAGGACTTGGACCTAACGGATTTGGCTGCTTATGATTTTGTAACGTCAGATGACTGGTAATTTTCACAACGTCTGATAAATAAAAAAACATTTTTTATTCAAATATATCTTATAAAATTTACTGCAGTAGTGACTCGTGATGTCCCGTGAAAATACACATGGAGATAAGTTAAACTCCACTTATTTTTTCATGCCCATATTCGAAGATACGCTCTCCGTTTCACAACATTTTGTTGGAGAGAGTAGCGATTGCTTCCCTTTGATGTAGCCGGCGGTGCAGATAGGAGCCGAATGAACCCATCCCTCCAAATGTGGGCGTGGTCTGGCAATCAGGAGTGGGAAAAAAGGTACAGACAATGGCCGTCAGTTATCCAGTTGACACAATTTTTCGTTTTGTTTTTCAGAAAATTTCTAAAATGGACCTGTCCGACATTGCCGCATAATGATCGTATTCAGGGAGTCATTCTTAAAGCTTTAAATTATATTAACATCCTGTAACAAGAGATTGTAATTAATGTTGGAATTTCGTTCAAGAAATATACTGTCGTACAGAAAGGAGTGAGTTTAGTTTTACGCCGCTTGTAGCAATATTCTAGCAATATCACGGCGGGGTACACCCGAAATGGGCTTCACACATTGTACCCATGTGGGGAATAGAACCCGGGTCTTCAGCGTGACGAGCGAACGACGTAACCTTTAGGCTACCCCACCGCCCCCGTACAGAAATGGATACCACATGGAGAGTACCCCTTCCCCGTCATGTATTTCCAACACATCAATATATCTATCCCGAACTACTGTGTATATTTAGGTATGTTTACACTTGAAGCAAATGCCAGATATGCAATGAATATAAACAGCAACCCTTTATTTTGTCTTTTCTTCCAATGTATGTATCATCGGATCGGAGTAAAATTTCTGATATATTTAACTTCACCTTAGTGGAGTGTGAGGTCGAGTTCGAATCCGACTAATATATGTGGTTTTGATTTTAATATTGTTCATAACTGAATGATTTCTGATGTGAATTCCGTCAGTGAGTGAGTGAGTGAGTGAATGAATGCTGGTTGAGGCAGCATGAATCAATAGTGCCTGTCACTCTGGTGTTACATGTGAATGCTTCAAAACCTGTAGCTGGGCTTGACCATTATCCTTACTTGATGCCTCGGTGCGTCTTTGCCCAATTGGACTTCGACCTGCACTGTAAGGAATCCATCTTGGAACACGTTTCGTGCAACGTGACATGACGCGCTAGAACAGTGCATCCTCCATGATGTTATCTAACTGACACCGACGATCCACGATCTCGATTTTTGTCGACATACTCGCGGTTTAACTGTGTCCTACATTCTGGTTATTGTGCGTGTTCCTTCACTGATTTTGATATAAAAAAAAATGGATATATGCTTTCAGTCCTGCTACTATGTGGTTGAACAGTTTTGATTCATTTTAAACAGATCCTAGTTCAGATTGTAAATGTATCGCGTAAGTGAGTGAGTATGTATCGCTTTTAGCAATATTCCAGCAATATCACGGCGGGGGACACCAAAAATGGGCTTCACACACTGTTCCCATGTGGGGAATCGAACCCGGGTCTTCGGCGTGACGAGTGGACGCTTAAGCACTAGGCTACCACCACCGCCCATCATACAATAAAAAACCCGTCATGTTGGTGTTCCAAAAACACAATGAAAAGAAACACAACTCTTTCTGATTTCCTGTTCTTTATGTAGACATTTCAAGGTTTCCTTTACGAACGGATGCAAGGTCCATGTTCACTGGCGGGTGGGATGGGGATTGGTACATGGTCAACTATCTCTTTTCAGTCACATTACGTGTCAACTAAAACCACAACACAAAATAATGAATACACTTGAAGATTAGATTCGACCACTAAACTTTAAACGTAATCTATGCAGAAAACTGTCACCGAACAGTTTTCCAGTTCCAGTACCCAACGATGACACCAGTATTAAATACATCACCACAGAATGGGAATTGTATGTTACCTTTTCGCCACCATCAAACAGCAGTACTGTGTTTCATCTACTTTGTTCTCACAGCCACCCGCACCCCACCACACCCGGTCCAATTCATCACCCTGCCACACCACACCCGATTCCAAACCCTACCCTTTTCAAATCCTGCATCAGACCTGAGCTGTACACAGTACAAGAATCAGGGATCCACGGGTAAACCAGGGTGGAACCCTAATTCCGTCATTCTGGTCTGGACAGCCACACGTGTCCATAAGATATATCGGTCTGCATTGTACAGGTTTATCCCCATCGGTACATAACGGACAAGATATTGATCAGGATTTGAAGTCCACTGAGGTAGTTGTCATCACGTTCCGTTGTTCGGAATGCATGTGTGAAGTCTATTAACCGTACATCAACTAACGAACAGTCCACACTATCGGAATCATCCAAACAGTCACATCCCGTAGAACTACCCAACACACAGTCAGGTATATCACGTGTTGCCATTGTGTGTCCCTTTAACGAATAAGGTCGCCTGGAGTTGTCTAATGGTTGTTCAGCATCTACATCAACTTGAGCACATAAATCTTCGGAACAGTTGCACTGTTCACCAATGTCTTTGGAAGATTGTCTTCTGTGGCATTTTTCAAGGCCATGGACGGGAGACAGGCAACATGGGGGCACCTCTGACCTGTCCATCTCTTGGTCGTAATTTTGAAGACCTTCATACACAATTAATAGGGAACTTGCATAAAAGGCGAACTGTCTCTGGCGAAGAAACCATCGTCGGATTCTATGGAGTTTGTGGATAAGGCACAGGATCACATCTTTTCTTGGGTTGTCAGGGAACCCGAAATACCTGCCCAAACCTGGAATGTCACAATCTGACGTTAATGATACAAATTTACAAAACAATACAGACATGGTGCAATATGATTTGAATTGGTTGGTTGGTTGTTTTTTAACGCCGCACTCAGCAGTATTCCAGCTAGGTAGGTAAATAATCGAGCCTGGACCAGACAATCTAGTGATCAACAGCATCAGTCTACGCAGTTGGGATACTTAAGATGACATGTGTCAACCAAGTCAGCGAGTCTGACCACCCAATGCCGTTAGTCGCCTCTTATGACAAGCATGGGTTGCCGAAGACCAATCCTAACCCGGATCTTCACAGATTGTTCTGAACTGATGAGTAAAGGACCAAAAGTTTAACATACATATGTACAATCCATGAATAAACATAATAATATATAATTCGGTTAACTATTAATTGAATATTTATGGTCGATCAAGGAAATACGCTCTTTAGCTAAAGTAACAATGGCTGTTTCCGAATATTAAATATAATGATAATTCTATGACGTGGTACTAGACAAGGTAGTACATGACGTCACTTCACCTTCTACTAGTACTTGGTCCACAGAGAAGTTGAGGCAGGTGTATTTGTCTACCGTCTCGAACTCCCGCTTGTCTGGGTTGTACAACTGCAAGAACAGGAACACAGTTTCATGGTCAGTGGTTACATGGTTACAACATTTCAGGGTCAGTTATTACATGGTTACAACATTTCAGGGTCAGTTATTACATGGTTACGACATTTCAGGGTCAGTTATTACATGGTTACGACATTTCAGGGTCAGTTATTACATGGTTACATAATTCTGGAGGCACGAGTGGCCAAGTCGCAATTCGCTGTGCAGAATTGGGATGTGGGTAGCCTAGTGGTTAAAGCGTTCGCTTGTCACGCCGAAGGCCCGGGGTCGATTTACCACATGGGTATCATGTGTGAAGCCAATTTCTGGCGTCCCCCACCGTGAACACGTTTCTAACTTTGCATGCTAGTGGGTTAAGCCCAAGTGGTAGACGCGTAACACCTGCACCATCTCATGTTTCCCAATTAAACTGAAATGCTTAATGATATATGTGGATTACAGTTAAAAACGACGTTAAAACCTATCCAGACACTTATGTAATTCAATGTTCCATGGGCGGTGGGGTAGCCTAATGGTTAAAGCGTCCACTCGTCACCCCGAAGACCCGGGTTCGAATCCCCACATGGGCACAATGCGTGAAGCCCATTTCTGGTGTCCCCCGCCGTGATGTTGCTGGAATATTGCTAAAAGCGGCGTAAAACCAAACTCAGTCAGTCAGTCATTGTTCCATAGATTACACAGCCACGGTTAAATTATTCAGAGATGACCCGAATGATAATCAATCAAGTGTTACATGTCCGAGCACAGATGGATAGTATTACGATCGAAATGATACGTGATGATAATGTTGCCATTAAATACTATACGATGGATCACAATACTACTGGGTGCAGGTCCAATATTGTAGGTCTTTACCATTCTCGTGTTGATGAAGAATTATTGAATAAAATCGGAGTAGTTTTAAGTATCGGGTATTGTTCTGTCCGATACCCGATACTCATGCGGGCCACTCAGTAATCTTCCTGTTCCTTTCTAAGGTTGGTATACAGTTCCTGCGTAGTAACATAAGGCATTTCGACAGAAGTTGGAGCACCGGCAAACCAGGGAACAGCGTACAATCTCGGGTTCAAATACACCAGTAGGGGGTCCTGGCCCGACAAAGGGACACAGCTGTTTTCAGCCTATTACACAACAGGGCGATCCCAGACCCCTTTATTATTATAGATCCCAATATGAGTGAGTGAGTTTAGTTTTAAGCCGCTTTTAGCAATATTCCAGCAATATCACGGAGGGGGACACCAGAAATGGGCTTCACACAATGTACCCATGTGGGGAATCGAACCCGGGTCTTCGGCGTGACGAGCGAACGCTTTAACCACTAGGCTACTCCGCCGCCCCTGATCCCAATATACCCATGAAGGTCCGGGTTAGAATGAACCTTCAGTAACCCATGCTGGTCATAAGAGGCGACGAACGGGATCGGGTGGTCAGGCTCGCTGGCTTGGTTGACATGTCATCGGTTCCCACTTCCGAAGATCGATGCTCATGCTGGTGATGACTGGATTGTCTGGTCCATTATTTACAGTCCACCGACCACCGCCGTATACATGTAGCTGGAATATTGCTGAGTGCGGCGTAAAACTAAACTCACTCACTCACTCACTGATCCCAATATGGATTTAGAAGGATACCAGTCGTACTTGAACAAACTGTGGCAACCAGCAGTACATACAATGTGACACATTCTGTGACATATGTTCACACGTGTGTCGTTACTTCCGTTATGTATGTTTATTGCCTCTACGGTTGGATGTCGGCGGTAATGGAAAGCATAGATCTCTCGCAAATGATTGTGGCAACAGCAGGCAATCTGAATCATTAAATATATTTCATATTGCCTACATCAACAATATGTTATCATATGCTGTGTTGGGTTTTCCATCTAAATGTATTTATATCTTAGACATAAAAAGGAATAATGTGGACACAAACAAAACACGTTTTGAATCTAAATGCTGTAAAAACATGGCGGTAGTTTCATAAGTATATGAATTTGAAATTACAGTGGAATCTGTCAAATCCGGACTCTTTGTAAACCGGTTTTCTTAATAATCCGGACCACTCTCTGGGTCCGGCAATTTTTTTCTTAATTTATCATTAAAGCTTGCTTTCTAATCCGGACTCACTCAATTACGGATTACGGACTAAAATAACAGTCCGACAATCAACTTGCTATGAGAACAATGGTTTGCAATCCGGATAGCTGACTAAAATAACAATCCGTTGAATAAACATCTTTGTTACTTCTGTTCTCAGACAAAATGTATCAGATATTTTAAAGCGAAGTGAACATTACCGTCAACTTTTTGAAAAGCATATACCGTGTATTACCGTAGATAAGCCGAATTTTGAGGACCAAAAAGAGCAGTTTGTATTTGAAATAATGTTTCATGGCTCCTTCCAAGAAAATAACTGTCGGTTTTTAAATAGGTGACTGGAAAAGTACACTGTTTAAAGTACAATATACGTAGATAATGTTTAGGGGACTGTCCCACATATTGATAGTGTTGTTATTACTGTAAGCCTATACGTCCAGACATGGACCCTGAATCGTATTAAGTGTCCATGTTCAAGGTGATCGTAGCTTAAAGTTGGGGGCTGTCTGTAAATATACATGTGGACAAGAATCTGGTGATTGACAGCATGAACATCTACCTACGCAATTGGGATACGATGACATGAATTAACCTATACAGCCAGTCTAACCATACGGGGGCTGTGGGGTAGCCTAATGGTTAAAGCGTTGGCTCGTCACGCCGAAGACCCGGGTTCGAATCCCCACATGGGCACAATGTGTGAAGCCCATTTCGGGTGTCCCCCGCCGTGATGTTGCTGGAATATTGATAAAAGCGGCGTAAAACCAAACTCAGTCAGTCAGTCTAACCATCCTAACCCGTTAGTCCATTGGGTTGCTGAATGCCAATTCTAAACCGGATCTTCACGGATAAATTTAATATCTAGTGTCTTAGGTACAGATTATTTCTCGTCTAAGACGTGACGTAAGGATACAAGTGGCCAGGCTAGGTGACTTGGTCAACTTATTATGACATCTTACCCCGACGTAGCTCAACCAGGCTGGTCGAGGCGGTGCTATCGACAGACCGTAATCAAACAGTCAAACATCAAACATTCTAAGATGTTCTCTGCCTTAGATTTATTGTCGGTAAGTATTAACTTTGGCATCTTAGAAAAGAAATACAGTTTGCTCTAATAGTTCAGGGCGAAAGTGTACTTTATTACACTACACGTGGTGGTAGAGCGAACTGTATTTCTTGAATCAATCACATTTGACTGGCACTTACCGTCATGCCTGACAGGGAGAATCCCAACTTCTCTGCATATGGATATTTGGATCGTCTTTGTGCGACCTTCTCTGGCCACGCTAGGGGGTCTGACGTCACATGGCCCATCTTGATGTCGATCATGCAAGGTTTCCTGAACCGGGACATAGTGTTTTCTAATTTCAGATGTCTCACTGAAAGAAAGACAAAAATTATTTCCTAAAAACGGCTTTCATATTGTATCATACACCTACAAACTTGCCTGAATAATGAAGCTTTGGTGTAGCTGTTGCTAAGAGTGAGTGAGTGAGTGAGTGAGTTTTAACACCGTTTAACGCAAGTGTTTCGTTTACATAGGACGTGTCTGCTTGGAAAGGAAAGCCCGACGTTATGCAGGTGATGTGGGAACGTAGACCTCAGAACGTAGAAACATCCATTGGCACAGTTACGGTGCTGGTAAACCAAGGCGAATCTGGATTCAAACCCACAATCACAGTCCAAAGGAAGTAACAGTTTATACTCAGGCAATGACGGCTCCCGACAAGGACATCCAACGACTACAACTACCCCTGCGGTGACTACGCCTACATGTCTCAGAACGAATATTTTACCGCTATGGCTAAACTCAGGGGCAAAAGAAACGCCATCAAAACTAAAAATGTATTCATTCACCACCTTAAACCCGTATATCAGCTAGAAACACATCTCACAGGCGCCACGAACATCACCACGTGTTGCACGTTTTATCGAATAAACTGACTGTACTTTTTCTTTACTGCCATCTGTTTGACTCAACGAACATAACAGCAGAGCAGCAAGAAAGAACGAATGGGATGTTGCAGTTGGGTGCAACGCAAGAGCAGGGTGCACGAATGATGGAATGTGCGAATTGCACAATCGCCAGACTGGTCACACGCCATCGACAAATTGGCCGAACAGCTGACGCTGCTAGGACCGAGAGACCAATGGCCACAAACCCGAAGGAAGAGCGTCATTTCCGGGTGCTTCACCTGAGGAACACATTTCTCACTGTGACGTCATTCGTCGCAAACAACCTTGGTTACCCAATCAGTAGAAGCACATTGTCCAGACCACACCGTCAACATGGTCTCGGCCGTTCAAGAGTGAGGGAGTGACTATGGTTTCACGCCGCTTTTAGCAATATTCCAGCAACATCACGGCGGGGTGCACCAGAAATGGGCTTCACACATTGTACCCATGTGGGGAATCGAACCCGGGCCTTCGGCGTGGCGAGCGATCGCTTTAACCACTAGGCTACCCAACTGCCTCCTGTTCAAGAACATCGACGTGAACGACTGTGGGGTCTTCCCCACCGCCCCTTATGTGAAACCAATTTGGGAAAGTCTGTACTACGCATGCAATAAAAGTACAATACGTACACTTAAGTACATTATTGCATTTACCGGTCAATCTTTGGACTAACAATTATATCTCAACAACAATGGCATTGTCGGATTCCCCTAAGGGTAAATTTTGTGAATCACATTTGAGGAGTTCCTGGTAAAATATCACCTTATATCGCTAGAAATGGTGTTAAGCACTTATCCTGCCCAGTAGCGATTCCATTAGAGCTGATCCACGCGACATATGCTTATCGTAATTAATGCCTCTGCCCAGTCTGGCTGGTAAGTGACTTCATAACGAATAACGTTCTACATCTGACTATGCATAGAGGAGATACGATATACTAGTGCGAAAATACATTAAGGCACAATGTCTACAATATGTTGGCCTATATTAGGGACCGTTCATAATTTATGGCTGGGGGTGGGGTGGTGGTGGTGGTGGTGTGTGTGTGTGTGTGTGTGTGTGTGTGTGTGTGTGTGTGTGTGTGTGTGTGTGTGTGTGTGTGTGTGTGTGATGATGATGATTTTTATGGAGAAGCATGTACAATATGAATGATTCCCCCAAAAATTTATGTACAAAGTAAGTGACCCCACCCTGCATGTCATGTACAAAATGAATGACCCCCTCCTTCCCATAAGTTTTTAGCATATTTTAAAAATATTTTTATGTACAAAATTGATTACCCCTAGCACATGTGTACAAAATTGGTGCCCCCTGCCTCCCGAGAACAAAATGGGTGACCCCCTTAAAATCATCATCTCTCTCTCTCTCTCTCTCTCTCTCTCTCTCTCTCTCTCTCTCTCTCTCTCACTCACTCTCACACACACACACACACACACACACACAATTATGAACGGTCCCTTATAGATATTGGGGCATATGCACCCACTTTACCTTCCTATTGATGCAATTATCACTTACGACTTGCCTGAACTCGATAATTGAAACTCGAACGTTGCATTAATTCATTCGAACATTTTAATTTAATATTGTAATCTAAATACGTAATTTTATTTGGACTAATCATATGGTAGCTTCCCTGAGGGCTGATAGTTAGTATTATTGAGAGAAATGCATTATTCATTTTAAGAGATGTGTGGTGTGAAATTGTGATATAGTGCCTTTAATATTATTATTTGTAATAGTTATTGCCTCTGTTGAGTTAAACTGATCCCATGCATTATATGCTTGTCGTGGGAGGCGAGCAAACGAACCGTGTGGTCAGGCTTGGTGTGTGTGTGTTATCCTACCAGAGTCGATAATTGTTTATCACATGAATCACTGCATTGTCTAGTCCAAAATATAGTTTTACAGGAAACTGTAATAAAGCTTTAATACTGCCAAAGCGTCAAACACTTCTCCGTAACTAACGTTGTATATCAAAAAGGCCGACCTACCTTCCGCTTTTTCCTCCACGCCCATGAAACGGGGTATGAAATCCCGTAGAGCCACGATGTCATCAACATCGTCGTTGTGCTGTTGGAAGACGGTGGTGTAGAAGTCGACTTCACGACGCCCTGACACACAGTTGTGAACAGGCTTGAGGATAGCGTGCTGACCCAGGTATACAACTCCTGCAAACAAAGTGCTGCTATATAGTGCCACCCAAGGTGGTCAAAGCGTCGTGGACGTCGCATTCCAGTGGAGATTGATTGTACTTTGATCGCACGTGTATGTAAAGAAATAGGCGAACAAATACAGAGATTAAGACCGCTTTGATCAGTACTCCGGGTATAGCAGGGAGTGGCATCATGATAGTGTGTGTGAGTGTGTGTGTGTGTGTGTGTGGGGGGGGGGGGGAGAAACGCCTGAGTGAGTGAGTTTTTACGCCGCTGCGTATACACCACAAGGCTACCCCCTCAGATATTTACCACTAGCTTTGTTTGTTGTTTAACGCCGCACTCAGCAATATTCCAGCTATATGGCGGCAGACTGTAAATAATCGAGTCTGATCAACCAATCCAGTGATCAACAGCATGAGCATCGATCTACGCAGTTAGACGACATTGTCACCAGTGTCCCTTGAACGACTTTAAATGAAGTCTTGAGTGAGCCATGACTTTAGTATCTCGAGTGTAGCCTGTTGATGAAGAAGAATATTTTTATGGATAGACTTCTTCATAGCAATAGGCCAGATGTTGCCAGTCCATAAAAGTTGTTCTCCTCGTCCTACTAGATTTTACATCAAGATCAACATTTTTATCAAAGTGAACAATTTTTAAAGAAACCAAATTATTCATCAAAGTCTACCTACATAATTTTACAACAAAATCAACATATTTATCCAAGTCAACTTTTGTTAACAAAAACAAATATAATATTCTTTTTGAATTAAACACTTTGTAACATTTACATACAAAATTTCATTAAAGTCAATAAAGGTGGTAATTGTCCTCTCTGTAATGGTAAAATAACTGGGTAGCTTTTTGTCCTAGGTGGCATTTGTCCTAGGTGGCATTTGTCCAGGTGGCTTTTGTCCGGGTGGCTTTTGTCCTGCTCCCCTTCTAAATGGCATTTGAAGAAGTACATTCGAGATGCCCAAAGATGTTTCTGGTTGTCATAAAGTACACCGGACTCTGATATTTCAGAGTTTCAGGAGGAACATATTTTCAACGCACAAATGAATTTAACTTGGTTGCCTTGTTGGTCAACAAATATATACAAAATGATTTTTGTTACTTAAAAAATATGTTTTAGCAATAGAACGTGTACCTGTTTTTCTCTTTTTCCCGAATTTCGTGTACGTGACCCCAGGGGCCATCGCATGTTCCACGTGGGTCATCGCCATAATGCTCTCTCACCAGTTGACAAGCACCTGAAACAAATTACATAGTTAGTCCGACCATTCACAGGTGACCGGATACTCACCTGAAACCCCGTGTCAAACACTCTCTCACGTGTCATTCGTTTGATTGACACATGTTACAATGTAAGCACCGAGTTGTCGGATCACGATCCAGTCGATAACAAACCTATGTACCCTTTGTAGCAGATTCGACTCTTATAAAACCAAAAAGTCAGAAATAACTACCCATTTGTAATATACTTCCGGTGCCATGACAATTGAATTAATCTATAAGATTTTGGAAAATGCGATATGTGTCACGATACGGTTGTTCCAGGGTGTTTGGTCGGGGGGATCCTGACCCACAGATTACTGAAACATGTAATGTTCTTAGCTCAGAATGAGAGCAGTCACCTTTACCTGTGGGAAGGTAGGCAATAACGAGGATTACAGGTAGACGCATAGACTAATGCTTAATCCTGAAAATATATACTTTGATGGAAACATATGGCCTGTTGAATTGAAACGAAATCCCATTGTGATGGACCCGATGAAAATTTATACATAATTTTGTTAGAAACACATGGCCAGCTAAATTGAAATGGACCCGATGAAAAGTCTATATACATGCATTATTTTGATAGAAACACATGGCCAGTTAAATTGAAATGGACCCGATGAAAATCTAGATTTGTTTCATTTCCGGATATAGTATTTCAGAAAGGGTTGTGCAGGTGGGTGGGGGTGGTGGGGTGTGTGTTAAATAATGGGTCAAGTCCGTCAGACAGCCAGACGTGCAGTTCTAGTCGTGTTAAAATTGTGTAGTGGTCATCGTTTTTGACCTGGAATTCTACCTTGATTCCATTCAGGTAGAACCCATTTCAAATGTTTGACGTATATCACAGATTATTCTGTTATGAACATCACATATAAACATAAAAAATCTCTGTTCTCAGTGAGCTGCATGATAATTTCAGTCATTAAATATCTCGAGTCGTGATTTATCACCGGGTTTAAGTTATTGAAGATGATATATTGCATAAGCGAACCCATGAAAGGCATTTTATTTGCATTATAGTTGGTATTTTTTATACGTGCATATGTTAAACCTGCATGTTTTCCCTCATGCAAAGAACGGTATTGTTTTCGATTGTATGTATCGTAGTCTCCCATAATTCTGACAGAAAAGTGTGTGTATGATTTTAACCTGTTTATACAACTGATGTAGGGTGAGATTTAAAGAAAGAAACTATGATGCTTCACTAATTCACAGAAACATTCTATTTCTATTTTGGTTGTTTATGACTGGTTGCTTAGTAACCAAATCGAGTTGTGACAACGTCTAGAAAACATTTACACATATATTGTGTGTATTTTTGTAGTCAAGATGATATACAGCATTTATACTACGTACATGTGACCAACCTAATTATCTTGGTAGCAGACTCACAACGATTTCAAGAGATAACAGCTGTCGACACAACCTAATATTTTAACATATCGTTTGACAATGAATAAAATGCTGCATATGCACAGAAAAACTATATTTACCACTAAAAACAACCGCAAGCCACCGTGGTGGTCAGCTGTGCTCATAGGAACACGTGTTATCTGTACCATTACCTCGCTATACCGTTGTGGTACAGGTGTTGCGGTATAATGAAAAGTACCTATATTCGCCTCGTTTGATGTTAATGTACTTCGTGATAAATAGAGCATCGAATAGTGATGATGATTACCAGATACAAAGACAGTGTATAAATAGTCCAAGCATTGTTTGTTAGTATATTTACCGTTTTCTACTGAATCAAAACGAATCACGTCACTCTTCCCATGGTCAGGTAACACGGAGCTGTCAATCACCATGCAGCGTTGCAATGTACAACAGTCGCTCGCAAGTGGCGCGAGAGTGTGGCTGGTCGGTCGGGATTGCATCGAGCCTTGTGTCCTCCAATAAAGCGTCGTTATCTGTCTATATATGTATCATGACATCATGTCATGTATGGGAACACCTCCACCTTAATATTGTCGCTTGTTTAAGCACGTATAATTCCACGATGTTACAATAAATGTATTTACAGTTTGACTTCCTACAAACAGGATTGAGAGTTTTATTCGTGATTAGGGGACCGTATAGAAAGCGATTTAGCATATATATTTTCGCACATTCAGCGAATTTTCAAACAAATCATTTCACACATTTTCTGTGTTCAAAATATTTAATTTATCTTGTTCCGAATGTCGTGGCATTGTTACTGAAACTGAAAAGGATTGTGGATAAAATACACATTTATACGCTCCCGTCCGCGTTGTTTTAGTTGTGCGATAACAGTGTTTATACAACTGGTGTTTGCTGAGGGGCGTTTTGATAAGAGGAAATTTGTCAAAAATATCACGGCGGACATTGGTCACGCGGTAAGAAATAAGGATTAGTTACGCAACTGGTTGCTCTGTGACGCTCCTATGACGCTGAACAAGCAGGTGTCCGTCATACTAATAGGCATCGACAGGAACCGCACGCGTCTAGACGCGAAACAGCTATCGATGTCCTGCGTAACAAGATATTGATGACGTTGTACATTTCATACGAGTTGACTGATCATCGTTATCAGTCCACGGTTAATGTATGGGGGTTTACTGTTGGCCCAGAAAGTATAGATGACGGTAGTGACTCAGTGTAACAGAATAGTTTTCGCGCTGACACATAATACAGATATTCGCTGATTGGGCAATATGAAATTGAAGGTAATCTGCAATTTTAAAATACGCTGATACATTTCCTTTTGTCCAAGTATTAATTGACAGTTTGTACCGTTGAGTTGTGTCAACAAAATAAAACGTTTGTTTGTTGTTTCATTTTAAAAAAACCCCAGAAAATGCAAGGATTTAAAAGAAAGATGCCTGAAAATCGAATATTTAGGGTAACAAAATACGTTTCCGTAATACACATACTAGTTTTATATAACATTCTGTCTCCGATGCTGTAGTAGATCATGATAATATATCAATTCCACGTTCCCAACAATGTCATATATCGTGGTTTGAGGAAGCACAATTTCTTTCCGGAACTGTACCGTTACTTGTACCGTTACTCGTTTACGTTTAGAATATTTGACACATTGCTTTGTGATTACAATCCGATTTCACTGTTCGAGAGTCGTGGGTGACAAATTTTAAACGTGTCGTTTACTTTCGCCTACAGTAATTTCACTTGCTTGTTGAAATCGTTACTTGCCTACACTCAAATGGGTACTTGTCCACCCCATTGTTGATAATGGATCTTTCCCAAAACCGAATCGAAGCATTTCACAAACAAAAACAAATGTTACCTTCGGCGAAGCGAGTGCGAAATTGACAAACGAATATACCCCATTGTTAATCGTAATTCGATACCAATTGAAGTCATAACGGATTTGTACATTTCTGCTTCCTTGTAGTCCCAATACGACGTGCTGACAAAGGTGTTAGTAACTTATCTCATTCATAGTGTCGGTGTCAGCACTGAACAGAAAAGTTAAATAATTAACATTAAATTCTTTGTCAGCATAAATATAAGGTATGAACGGTTAAAAGATTCCGTGACTTAGCTACATACCGCCAGACCGTGATTTCAACTTTCCTCGTGCAAGCAACGGCAATACTACACTGTGTTTGGTAGCTCGTGCCTGTTTTAATTGCTTCTCCTCGATATAGCGCTTGGTGGGCGTGGCTAATTCTCGGCCTTGTCGTGTTGTGACAGAGACTGAACACAAATTAAAGTAATTAGGTGAGTGAACAAAGTCAGACTGTTGTCACAACAATGTTTGTGTACGAAAATACTTATAACTGAGAAATCGTGTTTCTTTAACACGTAACTATGATCAAGTGTAAGAGAAACCTGATATTTGCACACTATAACTGTTACTTAATTTTAGGCCACGATTTCTGTTTCATTCCTAGCGCTGTACAAAATCTTATTTAACTTCTTTCATACATGTTGTTGTAATGTACGTCAATTAATGTTTTCATAGTTTAACCAAGTACGTAGAAAATGAGCGAAATTGAAAATGTTTTTCTTCGATTACATTTTGTGTATTCTCGGAATGTTTGATTAATATTTTATAATGTTCATTCTCAGCTTTGACGAAATACATTTTGTAGGTAAGTGGAACATCTTGACTGATAAAGGCACCTTGCCCCGGCGGAAACTGGAACATCCGGTGATAACATATATAACATCGCCTTATGATAATGGGAGTGACGTAGCGAACAGTTCTCCAAGAAACTCCACTCACGACGATACAAGAAAGAACTCCAAAACAATAATTGATATATATCACTATATGCATGTGGTAGAATAACCTTTATTACAAAAATATATGCAATACAGTAATGCACAATTGAATATCAAGTACATTTCGTTCATGGTCCCACAACTAATGATTTATGATAATGCACCCAAATGGTTATTGATAATGTACAACCACAGCGTTATCACATCACAAGAAAAAACAAAACAAAAGGTGCTGACTTATAGAATAGTTACAACTATATTACTTATGTATTATGTCATTGAATGATAGCAATTTTGCGTGTCTTTTTCAAACTGATTACCTTTTTAGAAAGGGTTTCTTAAACTTAGTGATATTAGAATAATGTGTATATTTATCGGCTGAGAGATGAGTTAAAAATTCACTAAAATGTTTCCCACTTTCATAGGTTATGAAATGCATCGTGTGATGGGAAGCCTAGCGGTTAAAGCGTTCGCTCGTCATGTCGAAGGCCCTGCTTCGTTTCCCTACATGGATTTGATGTGTGAAGCCAGTTTCCTGGTGTGTCCCGCGGTGATATTGCTGGAATATAACTAATAAAAACTGATTCACTCACTATGCAATTCATTGGTTATATTTATCGGAGTTCGTCCATAGAAAATTCCCAATGGCAGGCTTCCATATGTAAATATAGTACTTTGAATATTTCAAAATATGTCTTTAATATGTTTAGATTGTTGGAGGAATTTTTCAAATGACGGTATAACTCTCCGGTATTAATAGTAATTTCCTTTTGAACTCCGCTCAATATCCGCCAAGTTTTGATAACGGTGATCTTTCAGAGTATTTTCATCCTGTACCTTGATAGAATCTGAGACGCAGGAACTGTAATAAATTTGCTTTATAATATTTAATTAAAGCATAAAATAGACTGCAAATATATTAATAATAACATATTTGTTTTCAGACAGACGCATTTATCAATGTCTGTTAAATTTGAAGATACGTATGATGAGAAATAGGAAGGCATAACATGCATTACGACAAGTGGTATATTACGATCAGTTGCTCAGCAACGTATGATAGACGTTATATGTGTGTTAAAATATATGTATCTATTAGGATTATACATGAATATACAATCTCGCATACACTATAAATATAAAGTAATCTTTGGCAGTGTGAAACCTCTCATTTGCTGTGTTCAAGTTATGTACTCCATGAAAGACAATTCACAAATACCTATATTCATTCACAATTTCCAAAGTTTTCTTCATTTAATTCTGAAGCATATTTTCACTTTTCTTGTTTCCTCCAAATATAACAACCTTTGTTTTTGAGACATTTACTTTCAATTTCCACAGTTTTCAGTACTTTTCAAAATAATCTAGTTTCCTTTGCAGATCTACAGGACGTTTGGAACGTCAGTTAAACTTTCCATTGAACCTGAGTCAAGACTTAGCCCTTCACTACCACGTGATCCAAGGAAAATCTCTGTGTCATGTAAAACACTAAAGAGCATTGGCGATAAGTTCTCGCCTTGCCGTAACCTTGTATTACAAAATAAATAATACCTGTTACAATCGTTAACTTTCACGCATGATTTTACACTATGATACATATTGTGTATAATACACATGATCTTATACTGTGATACATATTGTGTATAACACACATGATCTTATACTGAGATATTGTGTATAACACACATGATCTTATACTATGATACTATTTATGATACTGTGTATACTATGAAACATATTGTGTTTAACACAGATCATTATATACTATGATACATATATCAACACGAAGGAAATTTCCTTGTACACCACGATTTACGCAATAAACCTACTCTCCAATACTGTCGAAAGCTTCTCAAAATCGATAACTGTAAAGTAAATACGTTTTTTCTTTCGACATTTTAACAGGTGAATCATGGCATGAAGAGCAAATATATGATCAGTAGTTCTATAACCCTTTCTTAAACCAGCCTGGGATTCTGACATAATACATTTTTTCACAACATTCAATAATAAGAATAAGAGTAGTACCTGTATATATATTACTGAATCTTTGGAAAGCTTTTTGCCTTCATTTGTAAATCCATCTACTCTTTGTACCTATAAATATTTTGTTAATTTAGGTTTTATAAAAAGTATTTCCTCTGTTTCAAATCGCCTGTTTATATCACTATCCTTTTACGTAAGTTACCTACATTCCCGATATCCTCAGAATTTAGTAGTGCCGACGTTAAGATTCTTGAAATGTTCATATTGATCTGCCATACCTAGAAACTAATGCTTTTACTGATCGTTTTTTTTCTCATAAGAGATCAAATATATTTTGTAGCTTGGTGTTTAGTGCATTTTATGATGTTTCCTTGCAGCTGATTTCGGCTTTGAAATGACTTATGTGTTCTAGACTGTCTACGTACAAGAATTTTTCATCTGTTATCTTGCATTCCTTTCCCAACAAGGTACGCACAAGAAGAAACGTGATAAACAACAATAGGTTGCCTTAAAACAAACATTACAACACCCTCATTTGTAATAACACCGTCATGGCGTCGTGACTTGTCACTGTCGTCACGTAGAGCTTGGTCTGTTTATCAGTTGCGATGTTTTCGAAAGACATATCCTGTCAAGTATAAACTTTCTTCATTTTTGTCTTCCTTCAGATGATAATGAGTGAATAAAACATAACGAAGTATAGCCTAACCTTGTCGTTGCACTGTCGGAACACTCTCCCCGGAAGTGGTTGCCATTTTTCAACGAGTGCTTAGCCAAGGTCGAGCAAGGTCAATTGTCAAATGAAAACGTAGATTGTGTCTGTAGAATGGTCTACGCTAACGCTTCTTCGTATTTGAGCAATATTTTTCTTGATTATATTTCAGCTCGTAACTCTTGTAAATTAAGAAAATCTTAAGAACTGAATCAAAATGCAAGGACATCATCAGATACTGATTCTTCCCAACCCAGTACTGTATAACTTTGGAGCTCTTTACCAGAAGATATTAAAGCAATACATTCCTTAAGCATTTTTACATACAGGATCAACTCAAAATTAGGACATAAATTTGCGTTTGATATTAATGTTTCTTTTTCGGAAATAGGTTCTCTCAAGTAATACATTCACGCCTCAGATTCATTATTTAAGACAAACGACAAAAAATTATCATTAAGGAAGTCAAATAAGTTAATTCTTTCTCACACTTCTTACAGAACATAATGATGTAATACTACTTTCAAAACGATGCTGCACCATGGATATAACGCGTGGAGGATGTTGTGGAATACACATAGCCAGCCGCTTTGGATATTTCTGATACATAAATATCTAGGTAGTTATTGAAGTACCTACAAATTAATTATTCATCTACAATGGACATTCTATACAAGGTGTGCCATCCGTGTCAATCTCTGACCTTGATCTGTTATACAAACAGACACACCTGAAATGGGCGATAGTTGTTGTGACAACCGAGTGTGTCGTGTAATTTGAAGACAGTTTTGTCTCTGATTCAGGCTTTGCTAATTATCTGCATGGTGTTTTTACAG